ATGCGATTCATCGAAATCATTCCATTCTTGTAAATTAGCAAATTATCTAAAAACTCAGTGAGTGCCTGGGAGTCATCCTGTAATTGACCACCATTACCCTTAACAGCCTCGAATAATTTCCCTGCAATCATCGAAGGTCTTCCAAACCTTTGACGTAATATGCTCATAGCCTCGTAGTAGCCCTCTTTTGGCTTCATAAACTTACAGCACTGTATAGCTCTTGCAGCATCTCCAGTGCAATATCTCATCAAATACATTAACTTCAATTCATCATTTAATAGAAAACTACTCAACATGATCTCAAACTCCTTTACAAATTGTAAATAATCAGCTGGGTTTCCATCAAAACACCGTGGTTCAAATTTAGGGAGTTTGATGTTCCTATTATCCCTGAACGGCGAAACAGTAACATCAACCATGTCATGCTTAACATCAGACACATCGTTACAATTAACAGACAAGTCACAATGACTTACTTTCCTGTTTGCATCCAAGACACTCTGTCCCTTCTTTGACCCAGGCATTGTTGAACTTGACCCAATTCCAAAAACGTTCCAGATATTGCTTGTTCAAAGAGGACTTGACCGGCACCAGGAAAAATGAACGGTGACTATCCAAACTTTCACCAACTGTCTGAATCCGCCAAAGTATGTTTCTACCATCAGAAACTGTCAGTCACGTCTCATAAACCGTCAATGCCCAGCTCTTGCTACGCTCGGGCCCACGCTGTTCCTTGCAGTTTTTCAGAAACGCTTAATAGTAACGGACGCGAAAACCAAAACACCGATTTGCCGCTTGGGAATTCTTTATTGTAACACCAACATATAAAAAATATTTCTATTAAGGTCTGTGAACAAATATTACAATAATAAATCATAAGATTACTTCTGATGGTTTGCTACTGACTTCTTTCTGAACAGCGACCGATGAGACGATGACTGTCGTATTGATGCCTCCGCGAAAATTGGGGAAGTTGATTTTGAGCAAACAACCAAGAATTGATCGTTCAATCTTCAACTCCATTGACAACGTTTGAGGGAAATTTCTTGGAGAAACTTGCAGAAATTCTAGCCATTTCAGCATCTTTCGTTGAGGCTTTATTCGCAGGGATACTGGTATTTAAATCAGTTTCTAGTCCCATTGACGAGCGTGGTTGTTGTTTAGACTGCTGAATGCTGAATGTAAGCACTAGGTGACTGTTGCTTTACACGATCCACCTTTGGCAAATTTAAGCTAGAGAAGGTGATCAGATTATTACTAGGCATCATTCTGCGCTAACACATTGTTTAATGCTGAGCTACGGCTGTAGATTTATAACTGACTTTCAGTCTTAAGTGATCTTAATATTCAGTAAACTTACCAGTCATATTAAAGAGAGAAGACGTCCAGCGAAGAGACTCTTTTCGGCGAATTCATTCACATAGCTGTACAATCGAATTTATATATAATTATTTGTGTATGTACATGAGGTTTGTCAGGTTTAGATAATTGATCAGGTAATACAAGAATGACCTAATATAGAAACAAGGTTAATTAGACAGCAACTATAGTAAGATTGAGTTAGTAAGTTAGATGACGTAATATAAAATATATATAAAATATGTACAGTGTAATAATATAATATATACGATATAAAATATATAAAAATGTTTCAACTTAGGTCAGGGTAGCAACCGAGGTACTAGGTAGAAGTGGGGTAGAAAATTAGAACTGAAATTGAGCAATTAATTCGGATGACGTAACATAAGCGACTAGAAATTGAGCGTTGGTCAGATCAGCAACAGTGCTAGTGGGGTGTAGAAATTAAATCGGGTGGAGATAGAGAACAAGAAAGTTGAAAATGCAAAATATTACAATTGAGAAGACAAAATAATACTAATGAAGAGACAGAAAAAAAGAATAAGTAGAATTTACTTGTCGGGTAACAAGATAGATTAAGTCTATTGCAAGTGTAGTGATTGAACGAACTTCTTATGTATGTAGAGTTCAGGGCTTAGCGAGTGAATCGCCATTGCTTCTGCAGTTTGAAAAATTCTGATTCGTACACCTTTAGGAAGACTACTTCTTACTCTGTAGACGACTTTGAAGCTTGTTTGGGGTGTAGCTTGGTGTCCGGATTTTATCAGATATCCTAAGATGGAGCTGCGGGGACATCGTTTTACTCCTTTGTAAAACCATGCTGGTAAGCGTTAAGTGATACTTTTGGAAAGGGAACTCTGGGTACGGCCGACATACCTGGCTCCACACGAGCAGGTGAATTGATAAATACACATTGATGAGGCCAGCAGTGGCACCTTATCCTTCACGTTCACATGAATCATAGGTTTTGTGGATAAAGTTAGTCGTAGTTCAGCTTCGAAGGAGGTCTTCTTGAGTGAGCGCAACAGTCAACTTTTTAGTGTTTCTGCAGTTATATCTCCAATCCACAGCAGTCGAGGATTTTGCGTTTTCCAGTCTTCAGAGGCACTGAATAATAATAATGTATATTTTAAAAAATATAAATTCGGGATGTTGTGAACTATAGCCTGGTGATAGGAGGTTATACGCTTCATCACCTCCTCAGCCAAGCAGTCAATCAGATTTTTAGCTTTATTTAGGTTGTCTGGAGACACTTAGAGGTGTTTTTTAGCGGGCACGCAATTGAGTATAGATCCGAAAGCTTGTTTTGAGTTACTTCCAGTAGAGACTTTACATAGCTAAAATCAGAACTGCTCTCTGTGGTATTTGAGATTGGCAGTGACATGCTATCACAGCAACCTAATTTCACCTGTAGTTCACTTGGTTGCCTCTGGATATCTTTCACAAGGAGGTTTAATATACATAACTCAGAGTTCTCCAGTAGAACACCTTTCACCTGTATCACAGGAGTGAGAATTGCAGTCAAGCCATTTTGCGAGCTAGTAGTTGATACTGTATTACAGGGCGGTAATGAAGTATAACCGAATTTGAGCCACTATTTAAAACAATTGGGTCTCTACGAACACGTTTTTTAGAGATTTGGACCATAATTTCAAGGATTATATGACAATAATCAGTAATCAGAGAAGACACGTGCAAAAATGCCACCAATTTTGAGCGTACCGCCATTTTCGTTTATCCAGTTATCAGTTGATTATTACAAATGGTCTGTAAGTAAATGTCAATATAAATACATTATTACTTCCGATCGTATCGCTCTAGCATAGTGTTAACTAATAAGCATTAAAGCCATGGCAGAGATTGTTGCCACCAATGAAAACTAAGCTAGTTCGAACAAGCAAGGTCATAGAAAGTAAGCTCAATGTTCTCCAACAACGATGGCATTAAGTAAATGACCGATAGTATTCGGTCCCTGTAACGGTTGACCGCTGGGAGATGCACTACTATATCTAGCTGCGAAGTCCAGTGTTACTCGAAGCTTTTCAGGACTTTTTAGAATAGAATATTGTGTCCCCTCCCCGTGATCATGACTTTTTCAGTATCTACTCAGTGTCGATGAAATTACAATCCATTGTCCTTATTATTATTAGTAGTAGTGAAAGCAGATTGTGATATTCAAAGAGACCTCTCCCAAGTCATAAATCAATGGTTTCCCATTTCATAATTCGTTAGCGGAATCGGCTATCCACAATTTCAGGGTGGTGATGGGTATTCAGCGGATACGATGGTAGGGACATATGAAAACCACTAGTAAATTAACTAACTTGGAGCAATGAGCAACTAATTTTGGCACTCTTTCTCTTTGAATGTAGACTTAGGCACAAAATGTAGCAAGGGCGTTCGATGGTACACTACTAGCCGTGATACACGCCATCTTTATTCGTAGTGCTAGTGCTGCTTCATCGTATTGTGCGTGTATATTCGATGGAGGAAGATTCGGTGATCAACTCTAAGTGAAAGGAGAATTTGATCACTCAGTCTTCGCATGCCAGTGTACACCTAATTAATAGAAGTGAGGTAACGCCAATGCCACTGGTATTGAAAATATTGTTACCAAAAAACCAAAAGATAATAAGTTGTGACTTTGTGTGAACAAAATCTGAAGCACATGCGGTTATGAGCGGTATATTCTCGTCAGAACGTGATAAGTGGATAAACAGTACTGAACAGCTGCGTGCTTTGTCAAATAAAATCATTGCATTCCGCAGTTATACGCTATCACAATGCTCAGATTCAGTCATTGCGGGAGTATTTCACTATTATCTAAAAATGTCGTTTTATGCGTGATAATAAAGGGGAATATTTTGTTTATAACTAGCCGTCTGATTTTACTGTGTTTGGATTGCTAGACATACGTTTAAGTGAGCAGTCTTGCTTATAGTCATATCCAGGTTGCACTGGCCTTTGTGAGTGTGTTTTACTGTTATTCATCATGGTTAGTTACCACTAAAAATAATTATCACAATGATTTTCGATTTAGGGTTCAAAGATTCAGTATGCTTAAATAATGTAGGATTACTGAGGCCATTGTCAGTAGCGCTTTTTGATCTGGTTAATCTGAAGTTTATGGAAAGTGTACAGTGCACGTAACGGAAATACAATGTGGAAGGGGCTAAAATAAATATACCAGGCTGAGTTAATGAGGCATTAACTACATTACCTTCTAGTTCACCTTCAAAAAATAAGATTTTTCCTTGATGAAAATGCGTCCGACTAGGCTCTCACGCCATTCTGTACTTTCTGCCATCCTGGTTATTATTACTGCTCATTGCCTTGATAAAGTATCAAGGGGACTTAATAGTCAACTAATAGTCTGCACGTTAGCATTTGGTAAGCTAACAGAATACACTCACCTCCTAGAAGGAATAAAAAGAAGTTGTCTAACCACAGCAACGGGTTACAAGGAAGTTATGGGATGGATGTAAAACTACCACTTCCTTTTGCTCACACAAATGACGAAGATATAAACGCATCAAAACTATCGGAAATGAGGAAAATACTTTCTTTATGCATCTTTAGCTTCTATCAATGACAATGGAATGCCTTTTGAACAGGTTAAGTGAAATTTGTTTTACTTTACTATTTGTTCTGGTTTCATTCACTCTATCACTCGCGTATAGTGTTGAACAGTGAGGTTTTATTCATTGTCTAGGAAAAGATGGGTGTCCCGAATGCTGTAAGTTTTCATTGTGGTTCTTGAATAAAACAAAATCATTATTTATCTTACATTTTGTCGTTTATCTATCAAATCAATGTCTATCTTTTGGTTCCCACAGCGTGGAGATAGCTACCGTATGGCGACTCAGAAAAAATCTAAGAAAACTCTCAAGAAGGACGACTTGAATGAACTTAAGCAAGAAATCGACATGGATGAACACAGGGTATCTCTTGAAGAGTTGTATTCTCGGCTATCTACTGACCCTCAGAATGGCCTAACAGCTGAACAAGCGAAGTAAGTCCATTGCGATACTTATTTTATTTTGTGATAGAACTCGATTAGAACGTGATGGTCCGAATGCCCTAACACCTCCAAAAACCACACCAGAGTGGGTGAAATTTTGTAAAACTTTGTTTGGTGGTTTCTCTTTGTTGTTGTGGATCGGTGCTGTCTTGTGCTTTATTGCCTTCTCAATTGAAAGTGGAACTCACGAAGACCCTCCCAAAGATAATGTAAGTTACCGTCAGTTAAACCACCAGCACCCTGTAGTTCTATAATCCTGGTAAACTGTTTTGTTGATTGTAATTGTTTTTCTTTTGCTCGACAGCTTTGACAATGTATGACTTAAATTGGTCATTAGAATTTCTGCTTTCGTATATCACAGTTGTCTTAATTTGCCCCGAGTTCATCCTAGTACTTGTTTGATACACGCAAAAGTGCCTTACTTAATTGGGGCTTTTGTTGAAAAGAGGCAAGAATGTAAAGCCCCACAGCATTGTTGTAAAACCCAGTTCAAATGGCTAATACTGTTTACCGATCATTGGGAATTTCCCGACATACAAACTTCTGCATTTTGCTAGATTTTGACACTAAAATTTGAAACATTCTGAAAGATTTTACGTATATATGGCGCGTTTTTCACCATCTAGTTTAAAGATAAGTACGTGCAGTCATTCAGTTTAGTCAGCTAGCTCCATTAACCAATATTCAAGGTTGTGACTCCGGCATATTATTCAATCAGGTGACTGATGGTTAAATATCACTGTTGGAGTCTCTTTAAGTTTCAGTTGCCTTAGTGGTATTTGTTTTCTATCACCTTACGCAATCTTAGCAGAGTTGTCAATTCTGCTAAGTCTAAAAGTGAAAATAGATGTCTGCTTATATTTCCTTCGTGCAGTTTATAACATAATGATTTATGACTTCTTTGTGTATTATTCACTGTAACCGACCTGCCACGTTTCATCAACACTTGTAATGCAATGGTTCTAATTGCAATTTTAGCTGTAAACGAGGCTTTATTATTTTATATTTATTTGTATTTTAGAGGGAGAGTGGAGTCTCATGCTTCTTTTTTTGTCCGATAATAAATTAGGTCAGTTACTCAAAAAAGCACTCTCGTTGAGTTTTTTTGCGATAAAATTTCCTGGATAAATTAAGGGCCTACCATGAGTTTTACTGTTAGTTGCTACTAAGTAAGTCTGAAGTAAATATCTGTGTTGTAACGTCGAAACGCCATCCAGGAAATAATACTGTCTTACTACGTGACATATCCAATAAACAAATTATGCAGGAGAGATTTATCTCAAGTATATGTCTTCAGTGTTGTCTACTTTGAGCTTGGTGTTTCAGTTGCATATCTTTCGTCGTCTACAAGGTTTGTAATGAATTGTCTTAATGTGTAAGGCTGATTAAGCATGTGTAAGCAGTTATACTTATCTTGAATTCATTTGTGTTACTTCGAAAAACAACTCACGTCTTAAGGCCTTATATTTTAAAATTTGAAAACCATGAGTTGACCCCACCTGCATATAATAACACGTATAAATTAATGTCGAAATGGACTTTTATAGGCTTTCACTCAAAGAGACCCTGAGTAGGGGATAGATTTTGGCGTGTACAAGATGGCGAACATAACTGAACAACGAACAAACAGATATACCCTTTGTCTTTGAACCAGGCGTAATTGTTATAAATCTAAGGTTGGCAAAGTCACAAAATCTGTTCAACAACTTATAACTGAGACTACAACATTTGGTATCATATCTTGCTTCCTTGTTCTGGTCTACTTACCGTAGGTCCATGATAACGTTTAAAAGGTATGTTGAGATTGATGACAGAAGTCTCATACATCTTATATTTACCTCACTCGTGTGTTCACCGGTCATTTTTCCACTCTTTGTAAGTTTATCACTAATATGATCGTATATAGGCTAGTACAAAAATACTAACATCCAAAGGCATATGTAAAGTAAACGCATACTATATATATATATATATATATATATATATATATATATAATGTCTCATTCACAGTGATACAATATTCTAGTTTGGATAAGCATTGCGATTGATATTTTACTCTCGTAGAGCATTACCTATGGTACCTAGGTACATCAGCAGCTTAAAGTCATGAATTTACTTGTGCTTTGGTGTTATCGACAGTATATATATGTGAAAACTACAGATGCGTGGTTTATTGGCTTAATTACTCGCCTTTCCACACCTAAGTCATGGGTTCGAGTTACTCTCCACCTACTTCAGTCTAGGCAGCTGGATAGTATCATCAGCTCACATATGATAGGCGGGGTACTTGACCTGATACGTAAAAGCCATATTCCGGATTATGAAGTACACAAAAGGTATAATAACACTGTTAGCATGTAAAACTCAACCTTATTGACTTCATAAGTTTGCCACTAATGGCCGTTAAGAATTTTTGTTAAAACCCCCAAAATAATGTCTCGGCTTAATGTGAGATACCATGAACAGACAACGTGAATAAAGTATATCTAGTTACCGAGTACAGATTCCTTGTAAAACACTGTGTTCTCGTGGTGAAGCTAACAGCGATTTGGAAAGACATTAAACAGTTTTCCTCCTAAAAATACAGATTTTAAGCCTTTGATTAAACTAATATAATGAATTTCTCGTTTTTGAGCGGAACCTTGTTTCAATGATTGATAATACTATCTACCAAACTGCATTGGCTCCAAGTCAAATTGACTAAATAATAATCACTTCACTGTCCTAAATTTATCAGTGTAGAAATCTTTTTGTCTAAATATTTTATTTATCTCTCCTTTCACGTCCATTAGTTTAAAACTGCACTTATACATACTGAAAGAAGTTTTATTTACATAGATTTTTGGTCTTCTGACTAGTCAGCCAAGTAAAAACAAGTAGGGAGTTTTGTATATATTGTATTCGTTCAAATAATTTAACATATAAATATTTGCCAATGAAAAATTGTGATACAGACTTTTGTTCACTAATGTTAGTGATGTAAATGAGTAGCCGTTTACAGTTTCATGTACTAGTTGTCCAGCTGTACATTTTATATCAAAGTTCGGTATACTACTTAACCACTGAAATCTTGATAGATGGGTTCGTATCACCTTAATATGATTATGAGCAATAAATTGTGATCGAAACGTCATCAGTAAATATTACTGTATAACACCGTGAGACTTTATCAAAATAAATTTTACCCATAATGGAATTATACTCTACCGCAGTGCACAAATTTTATTCTTAAATCAATTTACAATTTAACAAATTTTAGGGCTTAGCGTGTAACTTAAGCCGTTTAATAACTGTTATGTCTTGTCCAATTGAATCTGTTTATTTCTTATTTTTGTAGCTGTATCTTGGTATTGTTTTATCCATTGTCGTTGTGGTTACTGGCTGCTTTTCATACTACCAAGAATCCAAATCATCACGCATCATGGAGTCTTTTAAGAAAATGATTCCACAAGTAAGTGAAAATGTTTTCTGGATTTAATCATTGACAGTTCTTCAGTGCAAATATGTCACCTGATGATTGGCCCAACTACTACTAAGTACCTTGATCAGTTATTGGTTTTCTTGGCTTCAGCAAAATACTCTTTATAAAATTCTAGTGTGTTGTGCACTTGAACCTTGAAGACAGATAAGTAAGCTAACGTTCAAGGATTCGAACTTAAAGCTTTCAACTCTCTTATGAAATATTACTAACGCACTGGTTTGCGGTTTGTGTAATACTTACGAAAATGCTTTAGTAAATTGTGACTTTTGTTGAAAAGCTGAAACAATGTAAAAGGTTACAACCTTGTCGTAAAATCTAAAGTTCAATTGGCTGATATTGTTTATGAATCTTTGGAAGTTTCGTGACAAATCGCATGTGCAAACATTTGCCTCTTGATAAAATCTGTGACTGCTTTAACTAAATTTTAGTCCAATACTTGACTTTTTAAATCGTGATAGATAGGTTTGTGCCTGAACTTATTAGCGCTATCCACATCCAAAAATATCTTTACTGCCTAAGTAAAATGGTTGGATATAGTTTAGTGGATTGGGGTTCTCTTCCTTTTCCTAGGATGTTGCCAGTACTTCGGCTTCTACTGGATGTTCTTAGTTACTCGGCAGTATACCACGGACCCACATTCTTTGTTTTTAGCCCTCGTCATCAAAGCATGACCATAAATACAAGGAGACCCACGTTATCCCATAGATTCCAGTCTTTATCATTCATTGCAAAAATTAGGCCGTAAAGTTTTTAGTAGACTGATTGCTAATAGGGTCTCTGCATTTTTAAAGAAGACTCGTGTTGCATTTTCCAACCCTCTGCATCTTTGATGAAGGTGTATGTGGTACTTTTCCTCGTCCTTCTTTAAGGCTGTGATAGATGTTATTCGAAAGTGGAAGGTTTAAGTGTCTGCTTTCAGTTTTTCGTGTTAGTTGGTGTAATATCGTCAGTAACAATATAGTAAGTAGGTTTGTGAACTGCATCAACTGAGATATTTAGGATATGTGTTATACATGCTGAACCACTGTTTTCCTCGATGAGTAATATTAACTGATACAGGATTAGGTTGAAAATGAGTTAAATGTGATCAGATGGAAACATACATGGCAACAACCCATGAAATCTCTGACTGTTGGTTTGAGTCGAGGAGAGGAGTGCAGATTACCCGGTCGGTATCTTCAGAATGATAGAAACCAATGAATGGCGACTGGTTGATATGGTTTAAAGTCTTTCACAAGAGACAGCTCTATTCAGTTCTCATCTTCTAGAAAATTCCCACTAATCTGCACGTAGTTTAGTTTATTATATTGTTTTTTGCATTCCGTTTCTCTAACTTTATCTGTGCTTTATTGTAGTGTGTAACGTGAACTGTCACACTTTTGTGCAAAGGCTTACGTTGATAATTCAGGTTAGGCCATATTTGACTTACTGTATTATCGAACTGTGTTTACTTACTGCTAAATGGGATGTGTTCAATGATGTCGAAGTCCAGTTTCTTGAAACCTATCAATCACGAAAGGGATATCCCACGAAGCATAATCTTGCCAGGCATTTTGGTGATAGTGTTGTCTTCGTATAACTAAAACAAAATCTGTTGGATTGCCAAAAAGACAATAGTGAAGAGGTTATTTTAATGAAGTTATGTTTGTCTTTCCTTTATGCAACAGGTTTTACCTTTTTCCTAATCTCTTAAAACTGGTCAAATAAGCAACTAATAATTTAGTTATCATTAATATATGCATTTTAATTCCTTAAAAACAAGCAAGAAGCTTTCAACCTGCCTTTTTTTCAGACCGCCCTTGTAATTCGAGGTGGAGTGAAGATTGAAGCACCTGCTGAAGCATTAGTTGTTGGTGATTTAATTGATGTAAAGTGTGGCGATCGTGTTCCTGCAGACATACGAATTATTTCTGCAAGTTCATTCAAAGTGAGCGTGTTTGTAGTTTTTTTGTTTCATTTCATCAAAAAGGTGTACGATTGGAAAGTTTCCATTTTATATACACGGTAATTCGTTTTTTTTGTTTGAGGAGAAACTTATGTTATTGGTTCGTTTTACAAAATTAAATGTCGAGTTAATAGTGTATATATGGAATCCGGCAAAAACCCTCTCTGATAACATTTAGTAACTTTGTCGTTATCAGTCTACAGGCATCGTCAGTATAACTTTTAGAATGCTTTGCCTATCTGAATCTCGTCGATATCTAACTACTGGAATAGATAGAAATCTATATCACACAGTATTGATGTTTTCCCCACTAAATTTCCACCAAATAAGGAGACATTAAAAACTTCAGTTTTACCTAAATCTTTGATTATAAAAATTACTGTATAGTAAATAGAAAAGATTTGTGGAAACTTGCAGTCACTGGCCATACTAAACCGATTTTCATCAATTATGAAAAAAGAAAGTACCTATCTGAACCAGTCAAAACTTCAAAAATGAGTGAGTGTGAGTTCATTTTTACTAGTGTATGACTAATTTTGAATCTTGTCATCACACATTTTATACCGACGATTCACGACATCTCAAAGACTCTGTTCAGGTACCCGATATCATTCAAACCAACAGTTAAACCTTGTGAATTGCTGTGGTGTTTTGATTCCAAACTTAGCTTTGAAACTTAGCCTTATTTCAACATAGTTCTATTTCATGTAGTATTTCTGTTTCGCGAAAACAATGTTCAAATGTCGCAGTGGTATCAGCCACTTCTAGTTTCTAAGCTCATCGAATAACTCAGCTTTCCTTGCTTACTACTGTATGTTGTATCTGAAAAAAACTACATATCGTTCAAAAGGTGTAGTTTCCCTCATCCCATTTATCGTTGACTGCCATGCTTTAGCCATTAAGCTGCAGCACTGTTGCGGAATATTTTGTCAGTCCCATCACAGATGGTCCAAGTTGCCAAGTGCTCATAAGCAAGATCTTTACATTTAAAGCTAGAGTTTTCAGTTACTAATGCTCATTGTAACCGATAGACCTGCCATCTTGAAGGTCACTAAATCCAGTTCTCCTGCAACCTAAGCTATCATCCCATTTCAGTAATATATAATCAATCTAATTCTGGAAAATTTTTTACGCGGTTGGTGTTTAAAGTGCATCATATTTTTTACCCAGGTGGATAGAACAACTGAGTTTTACTACGTCAATCGGAAGGCTTTTCTTCGACAAGTTGGATTAAATATTTGTGATGTGCTTATCAGTCACAACTAATATATACAATCACCCAATTAAATAAACGGTGGTATCAGTACTTTTTTGACAAAGTCTCATGCATGCAGAGACAGAAATCGGTAATTTCCTCGTAAACCTTTTTCTATTCCTTTGCATTCCGCTTGGAACACAGGGCTTCAAGCTAGAGACTTACAGGTTCAGTAACATTGTTGTTTACTTTTGCGAGGGTGGTGTGCTGGTCACATGCCTAATCTTCCTTCTTTACCGAGCATACTGCCGGCTAAGCTGGGTTTAGGAGTGTGATAGTCGGGGATCGAACCCGAACATTGTACCATGGACCCACTTGCTCGTAAATTGACAATGATAAGTTAGAAGTTACCAAAATGCATATCATGGATTGACTTGCTGTTTTCTAGCGTAAATAATAATTATTCATTTATGCTTTACACATAAAAATGTATCTCCATTTCAACTTGATTTCACTGTGTATATTGCTTTAGGTCAGGCTACTTACTTCAGGTCAGGGCTGTGTTTATAACAAACTTATTATGTGTATGTGTACGTTTATGTATTATACCCATAAAGATATTAATTCTCTTATCAAATAATACTACAATTAGTTCTACTATTGACGATACTGTTTTTACTACTTTTTTTCGCATTATTTTTCACTAACTCATTGTTGAACCACTTCCGTTTTTGGTTCCATATCATTACATTGCATAGCATAGTATTCCACTTCATTCCATTGTGTTCCGCCTTTGATAAACTAATTCATGTGTCCCCAAAAACGATACTGTAAATAACCATCCCATCCATCAATAAAAATGACGATTTTTTAGCATTTTATAAACAATATTGTTATATTATATGTTATCTATCTATGCATTATTATCATTATTATATTTTCAATACTTAATTATAAGTGCTTAATTCTTATTATAAAGAGCACAACTAACGTATATATAATACATATACTGCTTATGTGTACATATTTAGTTTTCGGATAAATGACAAACCTCCAATAGATGGAATTGTAGAATGCATTTCATTCATCTTACAGTTAGATAGATAAATACCCATGCTAAATATAAACGTATATCCAATCATTTTTGTCCATTCTAGTTTAAAGATATCTTCACTAATGTTTAGTGTAATATTCAAATGCACGAACACTTACACACATATCACACCCCGATAACAACTGAAAGCAATAGTAACAGAGTTCTGAGAGTTTGTGGTGTGTTTAGTATTACATGTGGACTGGAGTTCGATTCCTGGCCGATGCACTCCTGAACTTTGCTTAACTGACATTATGCCTATTAAAGAGGGTAGGTTGGGCGTGTAGCTAGCAACTCGACCCTGTAAGAAATGCACTGCTAGTGAAAGTTCAGAGCAGAAGCTTGAAGCCCCCTGTGTTCCACACGGAACGCAAAGGAATGAAAAAGGAACACTAACAAGAAGTCCGAAAGTGAGTTGAGACAGTTCTAGCTAGCACTACACAATTTCCAATGACTTCTATTGCGTTAGCTATTTATAATACGAAGCATAATTTCGTGTATTTACATTTCTATTCTGTTTATCACGAAGTCGCTTCTAGGAGAAGAAATGACAAAAAAATACTTTGTTAGATGGTTTGAAACAGTCGGCGGGATGCCCTGTCTGATCTAGGTTTCTTGATTGCTGGCACTCCTCAGTAATGCTGAATGCATTTATGTCTCTTCTAAAATTCGAACCTGGGTCACACAGTGCTGCAGTGAAAACATTACCACCAGTCTATTCATTCTGCACTGATCGAGGAACTAAAAGTATGACATTAGTCATTACCTAGCGTGCTCAGTCTAAGAAAATACTTCTCTACAAACTTTGTCGATGATAACACTAAACTAAATGAACTATTACTATTATTTACAGCAATACAACTTCGATATGAAACACCCTTGATTTAATTATATGAAATTAGTCTGTAAGAAATTACAAAACCTATATCTCATATTTATCTCCATGCATTGGCAAACATCATGTATACTACTCATACATGGGGAATGTGAGCGTACCTGTCATGTATGAATACTGATCGACTGACTGATTTACCAACGCAGAAAACTTCACGTGAAGATTCATCTTCATTTTGTCAGCGTCTTTATTTCAAAATTTTTTACCTGGTAGCAGTCAGATGAATCCTTGAGACACAAAAGTCAGTAATGTTATTTAGCTTCGAGTCTGTTGACGGTCTCAAGATGTGTGTAAATCTAGGTTAGTCGTATTCGTGTGATACTTATTTAACTTAACGGAGGAAAATGTCATCATCTGAATTAGCCTTGACAACAATCCTGTCAAAAAAAGACTCGGATCACTGGCTTGAGTGCACGGTTTTTGACCAATGAGTCCTGCTGCACTTCACCCTTTGGTAACCGGATAATAATCACCAGCCCTAACACATACATTAAGTGTGGCTCAAAGCCTAGTATATGTAAGAACTAATTTAGGTAACTGAGTTCGGTCAAATAAATACACTACTACTCAGGGCTGGCTGTTCAGCAGAGCGCTAATCATCACCTTGGAAGAAAAATGGAACAGTTGTCCAATATCTTATTGAAATTAAGTGGAAGTATAAATATATTTTCCACATAATCACTTAACTGAGTTTTCAGAGATAGAGTTTTAAGATATTACTGCTCATCTGAATTTGTTTAATATAAATAGCCGTTTTTTTAATCCTTTGCGTTCTGCGTGGAACATAGGGCTTCAAGCTTGAGCTTTGAAGTTTCAGTGACAGTAGTGTTTTTTTACAGGGTGCGATTGCTAGTCTTACACTCAGCCTTCCTTCTCTACCGGGCTTACTACCGACTAAACGAGGTTTTGGAATGCGTCGGCTACGGACTGAACCTTGGACTACGAGTGGCGTGGTTGGCGAACATTCTACCCTTGAACCACCGATGCAAATAGTCAGTATTGGACTGGTTTCAAGTAGTCAAATATTCTGATGGTTTATTGTTTTTCTATAACTAATAACGTTACACGAAACAATAAATACCTATTATCCTTCACTCAATTCAATGTATGTATTGAAACGAAGTTTACAGACTGAAATGTACACGAAATTATTTTCAAAGCTGTGACTCAGCGGTCAAGATTGGTCATAAGTTAGTTTTCATGGTCAAATTTGAAATATACACGAAATGAGTGGAACTGATTGCTTGATTATTTCTCTCACTGTTTAAATATCAGTTTGTTAAGTTATTCATGTTTATTTATTTGTTTATTACTCGCTCAAATAAGGTGGATAATTCAGCACTAACTGGTGAATCTGAGCCTCAGTCACGTACAGCAGAATATACAAATGAAAATCCTCTAGAAACTAAAAATTTGGCCTTTTTCTCAACTAATGCTGTTGATGGTGAGTGATATTCCTAAAAGTACTCTTGTCATCTACTTCATCTATTAAATGTTTTTCACCCACAACTTTAAAAACAGATCAAAATTGGTGTGAATGTGCTAATTTGGCCACAGGAGATTAATCAACCAGTTCATATGTTGGTCATTTCATTTAAAATATACATACTAAGTATTGGTTTGTAGGAATTTGATTATTTCCAAGTTATATCGTGAAATGACTTCATTTTGGAGGACTATTGAAAACCGTGGAGTACAAGATAGTTGTTCCACTTTAGTGTGCGACGTTTTTGCAGTAGGCCCCTACAACCCCATTGGGGGTCCCGTTGACTATTCTGCTAATGAGAGCGAATCCATTGTCGGGCATATGGATTCCATTTTCTGCCATTTTGCGACACATTGCGTCACCACCCGAATAACTTGGTGTACCTGCTGGTCACGACTTCTCACTGCAACTCCAGGCAACTTTATCCTGTAGTCAGTCAGTAACTATTAGACCGATTCTCAAGTTTAGGTCTGCAGGGATTTAATTGATTTTAATTTAGAACACGAACTGACCTCAACACTTCAGTACTCCCTAGTTTTCGATAATTCTCTAACTGAAGTCAGTTAGTCTTATCGAAGTTGAAATATATTCACCGCAGTGACTGAAAGGCTGAATGACAAACTCTGGCTTGGTATGCACAACACATGTCGTAGCCATCTCAATCGATCCACCGTCACAAACTTATTGATTGACTTGCCTTCCTTATCTAATACTCTACACTTAACTTCAATATTACTCATCATATTATAGCACCTAACACGACGGGTAGAGTGCAAACAAGGTGATAATTAGAATTTGTTGAAGGGCATACCTTAAATTAGAAAAAAAACACCAACTTGGAAAATATATTTCAGTTGAAATATTTAAATTTCAAGTTAGTGATATTCTTTTCAATGGCGTGCATTATATTGTTAATAGTTGGTTAATTTGCTTAATGTTTTTTACCAAAATATAGCGAACACATGGTAAGTTGCATGCAGTTGAAAAGATTCAGTGTTTCATCTACACACTTACTTTATTCTCACAGACGTGATAAAAATAGTGTACTCAAGGGAAGCCTAGTAACAACATCCTTATCCAATTTCACTATAAACAAACAGGAATCTTGGTTTTATTCTAACCTCTTTGGAATTAACTTGCTGTCAAAAGACATTTGGCTGACGCTTTGGGTATTCGGGCTATGCAATCTCTATTGATCAGTAATGTTAATAAAATCCAGAGTTCTTTGAATTTCTAGATAGATATTTATGTGTTCAAGTTAGATAAAACAGCATGGTAAGTTGTATTACGATTAGGCGTTCAGTGTTAGATATAAGGAGAGTAGGTCGAGGAAATTGTGAATCTTCATTGATTGAGAGGTAGCTGTTAGGAGTGCCAAACTGCTGTTTTTTTCAGCGAGTTGATTTGGGTGATTGGCATGTGTGGATATGAAGATGAGTAGAGCGAGTAGACTAACCTGATATGTGATATACTCTTTATTATTGTCTTGTCTGAAATACGTGACTCACTATATATATATATATATATATATATATATATATATATATATATATATATATATATTCTCATTTCATCAATTAGGTGCCGCTCGCGGGATAGTTGTTAGTACTGGTGATCGTACAGTTATGGGTCGTATTGCAAACTTAGCTTCTGGTCTACAAATTGGTCAAACACCAATCAATAAAGAAATCAGTCATTTTATTCATTTAATCACAAGTGTTGCTGTATTTCTTGGCGTATCATTCTTTGTTATCGCCTTCATTTTGGGCTATCATTGGCTTGAAGCTGTTATCTTTTTGATTGGTATTATTGTCGCGAATGTCCCTGAAGGTCTTTTGGCCACTGTGACAGTAAGTAATAATCAATTGTTGGAAATGTATTTAATAATTGTTTCTTATCCTCTCCAAAATTTAATGGTGTCAGAAATTCCCTTTCAGATGTATGTGTTTCTTGTGTGGTTTTATATTTGTCTTTTGTTATAGGGTTATTATTAACGTCATTCTCGCAGGATATTCCCATAACTTGTTTGTTGTATTATCCTCAAGATACATGTGATATAAGTAAATGTTAGTGTCCTTCCACACTTAGTCCCTCAATTTATTTAACTGTGTACTGTTAATTTCTAGTAATAAATAGTTTCTTTTACCTTCTAATTTGTAAAAAAAACAACTGTTATTTGAAGATTGAAAGCACTATATACCTAGTGTTGAACAGTTAGTGTATGCTTTGTTGTTCACGTCATTGTTGATCCAGTATTATTATTGTCATTGTTCCCTTAGGCCCCGAGTGGAGCATAATGCTTCAACAGCACATTTCCCTACACTCTTCTTTAGCTGGCTACACGGTCGTCTGTACGCTCTCATTTCCTCTCCACACGATCTCTCCCACGTCACCATCCGACTGTAGCCTAACTCATCCTTTCCCATTCGCGTCCCTTTAGAGGGTCTACTTGGCGTGTGAGATGCCACTCAGTGGTCTCCTCCGCTTGTATCCGATCAATCTCCATTTTCTTTGGCATATTTGTTGGGCAGTAGGTTGTTGTTCTGTTGTTTGCCAGAGTGCCATGTTACTAATACTTTCCTAACGGCCATCTGATCTTCAGTGAAGGCAGCTATTCATAAAAGTCTGTAGTAGCGTGCTAGAAATGCTTATGGCGACGCGCCAAGCCTCTGAACCATATAGAGGAACTGATTGACTTGACTTGAAAATTTGAATCTTGTTCTTTATTCTGACTACAGTTGATTCGCACATTGATTTCAGATTAACGAGGAGGTCTGCCTTACATTTCCGATCCCGCTTTTGGCATCATCATGATCTGTTTCTGCTAGATAAGTGAAAGAGGTGACTTCCTTTAAATTTCTTACGTTGGAGATGATTGGTGCTTGTTGTTGTTGTTGTTGTTGTAGAGCAGAGTAAAATGTATTATTATATAAGCTGTGAAGTAATTGGATATGTATAGACAAACTGTGGTTTACCACTAAATGGCATATCTTTATCAGTATGATACAAAAAAATATCTTCGTGTTAACTAATACCTATTGGATTGGTCTGCTCATTGTCAACTCGTGCACACTAACTTGAAGTACATTTTCTGTGTTCGCGTTTCTCGTGTAAGAATTACAATTACAATGTTTTTTCTTTTGTGTGTCACACTTTAATCATGTATAATTTTGCTTAGCACACGTCCAGAATAAGAAGTATTAACTAAAATCGGTTCGCAGTAGTGACCTTTATTATTAGTAGTCAATGAATAGAATAGACTATACTTGCTTTTGATCAACATGCAAGTGTTTTCGTTTGAATAGTTAGGCTTCCTTTTCGTAATAATACACATATACATAGTTGAAGAAAATCGACCTAAAAGCGGTTATCTGTACTGATTAGCTAAATATTCCTAAATCCTTAAATTTTGCCGGTCATACGAAGTTTCGTTTTCATCAAAACCATCTATACTGTCACATATTTGTGCACCTGTACTTCTTTGCTTCAACATTTACGGGGATTATCAGAAGTAGTCAAACAGTAAAGAACTGTTGGTATGCTTCAGATATAGGAATGGTCTTATATAAAACGGAGTATTTCTCGCAAAAGTGGATGGGTGGATAGGTTTTGTTCTTCCTCTTCAAGTGCTCTCATATGGTCACACGTTCATAATATATACCTCCAGGTTAGTCCCGTTCATCACTGCCTACACGCGGCGGAGGTATTCCTCAAAAAAGTGAATGGTCGAATTTGAACATCTGGCGCCTACAATTGGACATGCATGTTTACCTAGGGGAGCTGGAAATCTCTGATAAGAAACCCATGGTGTACACGGACTCCAGAATCCGAAATGATCGAACGGCATATGAAACTTTTTTGGTCACCATCACTTGGAACCATGGTGTTGGAACGTAGCTCCTGATGCCTCTCCTGTGCCCTCCCGATGGAAATTCCACTCAAAGGTTCGGGATTGGAGTGGTCCTTCAAGACAACCACCCACTTCGGTCTGGGCATCCGGGCATTATGGCAGGCTTTCAAAAAACTATGAGGTTTTGCGTGGTGTATCTCCTGGTTCCCATAATGTACCAAGTTTGATTCTTGGTAATAACTATGTATGTGACGAGGCTAATAAGACCTAGAAAGTCAATTAGTTTAGACAAATTCCATGCATACCTTAATTTATGGAGTCCGTGTACACCATGGGTTTCTTATCAGAGTTTTCCAGCTCCCCTAGGTAAACATGCATGTCCAATTGTAGGCGCCAGATGTTCGAATTCGACCATTCACTTTTTTGAGGAATACCTCCGCCGCGTGTAGGCAGTGATGAACGGGACTAACCTGGAGGCATATATTATGAACGCATGACCACATGAGAGCATTTAGAGGGAAAGACCTCAGTCTACCTACTCTCGGCCATACCATGTCGTTTTTTGGACGACGGGCTATTGCAACTGTTTCTTTTCAAATATTTTATATATGAGGTTAACCTGTTTTCGTTGTGCTATTGAAGAAGTATGTACACAGAATTATGATACAACTCTATGTAATAAACAGCAAAATTATTTGATTTTTAGATAAATATCACTGATTCTACATCAAAATGGTAATTGTCATCTTTTGATTTAAATCAACAAGAATTACCTAACCAATGGTTTCGTTAATATGAACCTATTTCAGCTGTAGCAGTATTGTGTGTAGCCGTATGCATTTCAGCAGCTAACTGTCTCGCTGGATAATCTTTCCTTTTCTTAGATGTTTTTCCGACTTCTATTGGTGATTTGATTGAATTTTTGAATATATTTACTGTTTTTTCTTTTTTCTGTCATGATTCCATGTATCACTAGACTAAACTCATCTACCCATTATGATAATAGTAGTAAATTAACCTGTGGTGGATTGATAGCGTAGTCAGTTACTCAACTTGCAACAACGGAATGGTGCACGGGTAAAGAATCCTCGTTTTTCAACCTGTTCATGTCTTTGATGGAACACTGGTAAAGGAAAAATTACGACGGAAATAATGTTTTTGTTATTACATTTAAAAATATTTCATTCTTTTGCGTTCAAAGAGAAACGCATGGCTCTTAGCCTTAGGAATGGAGTTCTAGTAAGGCGGTCGTGTTCAACTCTTTTTACGGAGTTAGGTTGATAGCCCTACCTACGCACTGAACCCTCCATCTTTTTCGGGCTTATACTGTCCACTAGTAGTAAACTAAGTTAAGTTTAAGAGTGCGTCAACCGAGAATCGAACATAAACCACGTGTTTACCTTGAGAGCGTTTCACCACTGATATGAGTCACTAGGCTACTGTTTAATTTTAGCCAACCACATCACTAATGAGAATAAGTGGTCTCAGTCGGTAGTAATACAAGACAGATTATTGGTAAGACAGATATATATATATATATATATATATATATATATATATATATATATGGCGTCGGTTGTCCTGTAGTAGATTGCTCCTCAAAGACGCCATACGTATCCAAGGTTCGATTGACGACCGACGGACTCCTAAACCACGCTTAGCCTGGTAATAAGCCCAGTATTGAGAGTAGGCTGGGTGTGAGCATAGCAACATCACTTCAGAATAGCAAACCACACAGTCATTGAAACTTCAAGGCTGAAGATTGAAGCCTGATATTCCACTCGGGATGCAAAGTAGTTAAGTAAAATTTAAATAATACATATCATTATAGGTGAAATTCACTACAGTCATACTGCAACTTCTTATTAGTAATCGAGTTTTATCGACTAAACAACACGTTTTACTCCTGACTTTATCTGTGTGATCGATTCGAACTAGTTCAAATAAGTAGAATAATGAAAATAAAGCTTTTCAGAGCCTACGCCGGCGCACACCTGATGTCTATGGTTGGCCTGCAAAATTTGGGCTACCGATATCCATGCTGAAAATTCCATACTTGTACCAAAAATACAGTGTGGAATCAAGCTGTAAATCAAAAAAAAAAAATTTATGCGCAAATAAATAACATGACTCATAGCTTTTCTTAAAAAGAAGAGCTAAATATCTAGTTTAGGCTTGTTACTTATTATAATTATCAATACTAGGTTTAAAGACTTAATAATTTCTGTTTTTCACATATCTAAACTTAGTTAGGATTTAAAACTAATAACCACTTTTATTATGTATGCGAGTGTGGCTTTTTGGCGCTGATCACTAAAGCACTTATTTTTGCACAACATTTTGTGTTGTTTTTCATCTTTCGTAAAGAGTTGTGTAATTAAGAGTTGTCGTGTTCTTCGCATTTTTTCACGTATTCATGTAACAATTCCATTATTTTTTCATGATTAATGAAAATGATAACACAGTACCTTATAATTACAATGGTGAGAGGTGGTGAGATGATGTCTAATACTTTATTTTTCTAATCCTTACCATAAGTCACAAGTGGTCACTATTGAAGTAAACTCTTCCTTTATCGATTTGGCTATTGTGGTATAACATGTGGTGTATGTATGTATATATTCAGGCTTATCACTTACATCCTCAATGTACAGTCCTGTATTTTCACAAATTTCTCAGAAGACAGGAAGTTTTCATGACGCTTCTTTCTATTGGTCCCTTTAGCCCAATATATACGAAGTAAAGACAAAAATAGAACGACTGAATACATTGCATCTAATGTTGATATAATTCAATAATCTATTGTGATTACATCAATCGACGGATATCTCTTATAGGTCTGGGCAATAAGTGACTAACGGAAAAGCTAATTGTAAAATGAAACATAATTAATAATTCAATGTAAAATGTGAAAATAAAAATGCTCGAGATGCGAGAATCGATCAGAAGGATTTTTTCTCGTTAAAACCTGGAAAAATTCCCTTTCTCAATGGCGGGTAGTCTCATACCCGACAACCCTCTCAATAATTTCAGGTTTTCGGTATCATACTTCAGTCTGGCTAATCCGCGGAATTAAAGGATTTTGTATTCAGAAAAAAAGTATCCCAAACTTTATGGGATATCTTATAATCTACGGAATCTCAAAATTGTTTTCATTTGATGTACGCTAGTGCAGTGGGCATATTTTGCTTACTTCATATGCATAAAAAATTCTTCTTTGTGTGCACATTTGTATGTGTTAGTGTTTCGAACTAATAAAATAATTTCAGCAGATATGTTTATATCATATATGCGTAAATTACCTGTATCTTTTTATTAATATTAGTTATCATTTTAATATTGTTGACTCTGCAACTCCATATCGCACTTATTATCCACTGAATTCTAATCAGCATTTAGATAAAATGTTTTGAAATCATTCGCATAGGCGGATATATTTGTAACGTATGTATATATATTTCAAGTTTGGCCATGGATCGATATCAGCAGGACAACAATCGAAAACCAAGGAGTTGTGGGCACCTGTTTCGTCCAGGTTTGAGGCTCTTTAGCACATGAACCCATCAGGTATTGAACCTAGACCCCGTAGCTTATAAGGCCAACATCGTTGACAATTAAACCCTTTTGACAAGAATTCAATAACTGGTTCATTCTAACTTCTGTCCATCTTTGTCAGTGAAATTGGCCTCCTTGGTCAGGTCGTGGGTGCACACTGATGAGGAGTCCAAAATGTGGCGAAACAGTTGTGCAGTACTTATATATATCTGCAATCATGTTTGTCCGTCCACAACCTTTTCCGCTTTTTCTTTTAATCTACCACACAGCTCAGTTGTTGGGTATGTTTTTGTTGTGAAAACAAATTAGCTGTGGATTGTGCGCTTATATGTATAAACCATAAGGCGCAACAGGGATGCACACTATATCCTGTCAATGAATGACATCCATTTACATAAATCTTTCAAATCACTGAATGGAACAAGGTATGCTGAAGTTTGTCCTGTTATGCTATCAGTAAAATTAGCTGTTGTAGTACTGTGTGATATGATTTTAGATTACATGATGCAGGTATACTTTCGTTTTTATTTTTGTTTCTTTTAGGTGTGTTTAACACTGACTGCCAAACGTATGGCTAGTAAAAATTGTCTGGTAAAGAATTTAGAGGCAGTTGAAACTCTTGGTTCAACAAGTACTATCTGTTCTGATAAAACTGGTACACTGACACAGAATCGTATGACTATAGCTCATATGTGGTTTGATAATAAAATTTTTGATGCTGACACAACAGATGACCAGTCAGGTAAGTCTTGGGATACGTCCTCCTCATAATTTCATCTCAATATATATATATATATATATATAAATATATATATATATATATATATATATATATATATATATGATTTGTTTGCTTCTGTCCATCATACCTGTTTTGGATATGTGACTTACACACTCAACTATGGAGTAATTTCCCTTAATTCAACCTGGGCATACTAACAGTCTTATTTAACGTCAGTCATTAGATTTCGTCATGAACCAATATCATTTAGGGGTTTCTGACAAACGAGTAGCACTTGATAACTGTTCCGTCTTAGTCTGGGTCTCTTCAGTAGTACACACCCAAGTTATACGAACTCAGCTACCTGGAACTGACTTCAAATCCTCTCCCCCCCGTCACCGAGGCTATATATCAGCCATGCTTATTATGTTTGTGGGGAGGCTGAGGATACTACTCACTCACCTAACCCGGATTCGAAACGGAGACGCATAAGCTGAAAGCCAGGCAGATGTGTAGACGAATGAGCTACATTTTCACAACTCATAAGATTAATGGAGGATTTATTTTTGAGTTGTTTTTTGTTTATATCTGTGTGATATCGTCTACTTTTTAAACTTTCCACTGAAATTGTTCAGATATTTAAGAAAATGCATAACTGAATCAGTTTGTAGTCTGTCATAGTATTATTTGTTTCATTTGTCTAGTAGATAAAACATCTTATGTTCCCATATAATCATGAAGGTTTAGGTAGTATAATTTGTCAGACTTGTCTGTGTTTCTGAACATCAGTCATTAAGTGAAACGTATTCCTTATAGAGCTGTGACTCATCGTTCGACTTGCAACCACTGGGTCACGGGTTTGAACCTCGTTCCATTTACCGAGGTTTGGGCAGCTAAGTAGTACCACTAGTCTTCACACGCAATAAGTTTGGCTAATTGCCAGTTAAATATGGTTGGAACTTGTAGATTATTAGAAGAAATTCTAATTTTCTTCTGTGTTACTTTGAGATGTTTAAAACCCAATCCACAGAGTACTTTTGATAGCACTGCTTAAGTTGTAGTACTTATTTCCACTCAATCATCAATAATAGTGTATCCACAGTTTTGTGGAAACTTGTATTCCTTAGTAAAGTTATAAAATTTACAAGAAAACTGTCCAGATTTTGATTGTATTAACTTGACTATTCTAAATTTAGACGATGTTAATGATTATCATTTTATCCAACCACGAGTAGTAATTGGCATTTATTCATTTTCAAGCTAACAGACGTGTCTGAAGACAGATAAATATTTATTTGACCAAAGTTTTTTTCGTAATGTATAAGGAAAGATTGAAAAATAAAAACAACCAGTGTTCGTGTACAGATGGTTAAAAAACAATCTAGTGTTTGTTTTTCTTAAGAAAACATTTACATTATGAGTGTAGGACTCACAGTCTAAATAATTTAAAACGAACAAAAAGCTACAACATTTAACTTCTCTGTATTGTTGTATGAAGAACTTTCAATAGCTACAAGTTTGATCACAAACTGATATCAGCCAGTTAGAGAGAATCATTAAAAACCAGCAGAAGGTGTACTGGATGGCTGTTTCGTTCTAGTTTGCGACTCCGAACTAAGCATCGATGACCTCAGTCGTTATCGAATCCGAGACATTGAGGATGCGAGGTCTAACTCTTTTGCCATTCAGTCGTTTGGACGGGAATTCGATGACCCATGAATTCTAACTTCTTCAGTTTTTTGTGATGTAGCTCAAAACCTTCAATTTATTTGTTTTCCGTTTTTTTGTAAACCTTCATTCCTTTTGTAATCTTTACCTTCTTAAAAAGTTGGCATTTTATATTGAAAATAATTGAGCATTTGCATGTAAAAGAGAAAAAAAGTGTGATAGCAGATTTATTGCCTGTTTCAATTGTTTGCATTCAATTCATCTGCCTTTCATTTGTATTACACCTTTTTTTAAATTTTATTGATTTGACTCTTTCTCTGCCACACTCGTATCTCCCCATATTGTTTTTAATTGTGAATCGATATTGATAATCTAAAAGAGTCAATTAATTCACTTTATCTTTTACACCTTCCTTCCTTCCTTTCTCTCTATCTTATTTATCTATCCTATTCACATAAACCAACAAAATAGGGCGTCACCCGGTCATATTCTTATTTCTTTTGTGTGTATATATTTGCAGATTATTTCTTTACACTTAAGTTTTATAGTACATAAATATTTTTGTTGTTGTTTATATACATCCCGTTTAGACTGATGATTATGCCACTTTTGTTCCCTGATTTTTCGATGAACAACTTTAGCGCAGATGTGGGAATTTTACACTTAAATCCTGACTTTTATTCCTTATATTCTATTGGTTTATTTCTTGTCCACTGATCTTCATTATTACTGAGCCAGCGAAGGCAGCTAGTGATAAAAGTCTGCGATAGACTGTTGTAAAGTGCTTTTGTAGAAGAACAGACTTGATATTAGTGTTGAAAATCCACGTCTTGTTCTTTATGCACAGTACACACTGATTTCAAAGCGATGAAGGCCTATCTTGCTTTCTAACCCTACCTTTGACAGCTTCATCCGTACCGTCTGTGTGTGTATGGTTGGAACGATGCTGCCCAAATAAAATTAAAGGTGTTACTTCCTTCAAATTCCTCCCGTCGGTGGTGATTAGTGATTGTTGGTTAGTCTTCCCCACGTCCACCTGAAATCCTGTCTCCGCCACCTGACTTTTCTGCCAACTTCGTGATTTTCGTCTATAGACCTTTGAGTTTATATGAATTCTCTGCGAAGTCCAAGTCTTCTACAGTCTTGTCGATATGAGATATGTGTATCTTCTCTCTCACCACGGCCCTTGGCATGATCCAGTCCAGCAAAATCACGAATTTCATTGGTGAACTATATACATATTTTGACGCATTTCATTCGTTGACTTAATCACCACTTTTTTTATACATATGATTGTAAACAATCATGAGGTTTTTAACAAAAGTTTAAATAATATAATTTCATTGTCTAAGGATTTTATGAATGCCTATTTGTCTGATAGAGGCAATGAAATCAGTTCCTGTGTTGTTTATCTCACATCGTGTATCTTGTGGGTTTGTTAAGATAACAATCCTAAAGTGTACCTTTAAGATACTCATCATATTTATTGTGGGTGGTAACGAGGTTGCATATGTTGTTGATGATTGAATTAAGGCCATGGATTCTATCTCCATCAAACTTCAAAGTGGAATAATTTGCTTGTTTTATAAACTCCTACAAAGTTATGCGGCGCAACAATTCATGTTTCCTCCTGTAATACCCTTTAGTTGATTTTGATATTAGATTTTAAAAGTTAATTTAAAGTGTAAATTAAAGTGTAGATTTTGTACTTTTTGGCAATTATCAGAAAGAAACCTTTGAAACGTTGGAGGTATATTTTTGTCCTATTTTAAGACTGAATTCTATGTTGCTTATGCCACTTTACACGGGAAATAGAGCACAGGCACCTATGATCAAAGACAGCTAGTCTTTTCATGTCTTCCACTCTGAGTGGCCAGGTCTCACAACCATAAAGGAGGACGGAGCGGACTGATGAGCAGTACACCCGCCCTTTGGTCGATAGTCGAACATCTCGTCTACACCAGAGTCGGCGTAAACTGGCAAATGCGAAACGAGCCCTCTGTATCCGTGCTGAGATTTCGTCAGAGATCAACCCGTTGGGGCTGTATATGATAGGATACTCGGAATCTGACCAGATGCTAATTTCGTTAATTTCCTGAGTAATTTCAAATACCTGTCCACAACGCAGTAATAACCAGTTAGTTTAATGATACTCCACTCCACTCACTTCGGCGACTCAGGGATTGACTTGCTACCAGGGAATAATCTCGTTGACTTAGAATATGCAGACGATATAGTCCTTCTAGGCGAAGACGCTGACAAAATGCAGAGTCTTCTAAACACTTTGAGCTGCAATCTACGAATGTTTGGCATGCGATTCGCTTCCGCCAAATGGAAGATGATGTTACAGGACTGGACTACACCGACTCCTAGATTAGAAATTGGGAGTGAAGGGGTAGAGCACGTTGTCCGCTTCACTTATTTGGGAAGTGCCATCAGCCAGTGCAACGGGTTGATCTCTGACGAAATCTCAGCACGGATACAGAAGGTTAGTTTCGCATATGCCAGTTTACACCGTCTCTGTCGTAGACGAGATATCCGACTATCGACCAAAGGGCGGGTGTACTGCTCATCAGTCCGCTCCGTCCTCCTTTATGGCTGTGAGACCTAGGCATTGAGAGTGGAAAACATGGAAAGATTAGCTGTCTTCAGTCATAGGTGCCTGTGTTCTATCTCCTGTGTGAAGTGGTATAATAAGGTGAGCAATAATGAGGTTAGGCGTCGGAGTTCTAGGTGAACTGGGGAAATCAATCGACGAGGTTGTGAAGTTACATAGACTGAGATGGTTAGGACATGTGTTACGTATGCCTAGTCATCGCCTTCTTCGACGAGCAATGTCAGCTGATATAGGTTCAGGCTGGAAAAGAGCCAGCGGCGGTCAAACCAAAACATGGCTTCACCAGTCAATGAAATCTACAACAGTTAGTCTAAGCCGCGTAGGAAGGTGTAGAATTCCTGACTGGTTGGGGTCCTCGGGACGGTAAACACCAATGGTTGGGAACAATTGGTAATATGGCTCAAAGGGATCGTTCTCAATGGCTGGCTGGTGCAGATGCATCCACTCCTTGTGACTTATGATTTCCAATCACACTGTTTTGTTCTTCGTTATTACTATTCCTTTGTCTCACACCTCTGTTTACTGTCTCTAATATGCATTTCTTCTACTTTCTTCTCTTGCTTTGTGTGGTACATGTGGGGATTGTGACAACTTGAACTGCCGCACATATGTGCAAAGTTCTATGTCGAAAACAGACCGACGACCGACAGCTTTTAGTGCCCCATAGGGATGTAACACAGAGTCTTTCTAAAGTAGCTCAGGAATGCCCATACTCTCTCATAAGTGTCAGCCGAATTTTCCGTTTATCACAATATTTATAGCTTAATGAATAACATCTGTGAATTAAAGAGTTTGTTTTCTTTTTCATGGTTGAACAGCTTTTACTGGTGCCGCCAAAATTTGTTATACACTACTATTACTGTGACTATATGGATTATGTATTTGACACTGCAACACATTGTTTTTACTATTTCTTTTAACTGTATTATATCTCTTACAGTTGCCACCTACGACAAGAATTCACCAACATGGATAGCTTTAGCGCGTATCGGTATGCTTTGCAATCGTGCTGAATTTAAAACAGGTGAAGAAAATAAGCCAGTTCTAAAACGTGAGTGTAACGGTGATGCATCAGAATCAGCCTTACTGAAATGTGTTGAACTTTCATTCGGTGGTGTCACTGAATATAGACGTAAAAATCCTAAAATTGCAGAAATTCCTTTCAATTCTACAAACAAGTATCAGGTATGCCTTATTATTACAATATTTTCTATTATTGTTTAATGTTATGATGATGTCTGTCCCAATAATTGTGAATAGTTTTCTTTATAGAGTTTGTGTCATAAATCAATATCAGTTGGAGAGTTATTAAGATAGTGAGTTACAAGTTTTCAGGAAATGTAACAGTCCATCCGGATGACGAGTCCAGGATGGGAGGAAACTCGTGTCCTACATTCCACGCTTCAAAACATCAATATACAGGTGACTTAAAGTCTAAATTATTTAAATCATCCAAAGGGACCGTTCACAGCTGATGAACGATAGCAAGTAAATATGCGTACTTTGGTTTAATCTTGTTAGGAGTGTTCAGATTTCAGTTTCTACGCACTTACATCCAAGAGTTCACAACAGCCGTATCACTATTATTATTATTGCTTGGTGTTTACTGCTTTCCAAAACCTATTTAGTCTTAGTTTTGATATGATGGGATTCGAAAGATGTCGACAATAGTTTATTATGTGCTCCCCATAGAACTTGCCATAATTTATTTATGTTTGATGCGTGCAATACATCTCTTTGATTATTTATTAAAGCGCAAACTTGGTACATTATGGGCACCAAGAAACACGCCACACAAAACCTCATAGTTTGTGCCATTGAGGGTTGCGATATTGCCCGGATGCCCAGACCGAAGCGGGTAGTTGTCTTTAGGAACCAACGAATCTTTGACATGAAGTCTGGTTTTCGGAGTAGTGGAGAGGCTCAGGAGTTACGATCCCATAGCTTGGATGCTGGTGACTAAGACTGGTTCATACTTCATTCGATGCGTCAAGGTTTTGGAGACCAGTCTGTCTAGGTAGACCTATGTGTGCAGCAGTCTGTAAGCTCCAGACGTTTGAATTCACCCTTTCACTTTTGTGACTAACACCTGGGCCGCGTGTAGGCAGTGAATGTTATTTATCTGGAGGCCTAGGGTACGAACGTGTGGTCACATGAGAGCATTTTGAGAAGAAATTCGAAGTCTACTCACCGTCAGCCGTATCAGGTCGTTTACACGGGTCACAATTTATCTTTCCAGGACCATGTCATGACCTTTATTCGATTTGGTCATCAACCAAAATGAAAAGTGAAAGTTGATGTTCATTGGTGAGAGAAAGATTTCTAGCTTAAGTGCTGTGGTCATTAGTATCCGTAATCAAAATGTGTGTATGTGTATTTGTATACTGCGAGGTTTACCTATATTGTCGTCAGAATTAGAAATTACATCATTTGCCCCTATGATAAAAAATATTACTACATAAACATCCTAGCCTCTTACAGCATTTTGTCAGTTAATGCTTGTGGAGGTGTGATGGATGAAATTTGTAATCGTATAGTAAAAGCTAGGGTGACATACGCCAATTTTAGGCATCTCTTGCACCATCTCGACGTCAGCATAGCTTTCAAAGGTCGGGTTTACGAAAATTCGGTGTTTGGAGTCTTTCTCTATGCTTGTGAAAATTGGCATATTCCAACTGAAAACGATTGGTGACTCTGTATTTGATCACCATTGTTTCCGTAGGATTGTTTGTGTCCGATGGCATCCTCGTATGAGTAATTCTGATGTCCATCAGCGTGTGTTTGCACATGGCAGAGGTCACCATTCATTGAGGGTCGTTATCTGTAAACGTTTGCTTCAGTGGCTTGGACATATGCTGCGAACGCCATTCGAGAAACTTCTGTACATATCTCTGTTTGTTAATCCTGGGACAGGATGGAAAAAGCGGAGTGGTGGTCATCCCGTAATGTGGCATCCTGGGATGAAGTAAATATGTGTTGCTTTCACATCAGTTGGAACATAATGACTCCATCTGCGTTGGAGAGATAGTTCGAAACGTTGGCTTGAAACGTTATCAGATATGTCCAAGAATCGCAATTAGTGGTTGAGGTGTGGCGATTTCTCTCTTCCCTTTTGCATATTGAATGATCTTGACAAGTGTACATGCTTGCTTTTTTGAGTGACGTCCGTCATTCTTCCTTTCCCTACTTTCTTTGTATATTTTTTATTATTGTTGTGTAGCACATCTCCTGATGCCCATAATATGCCAAATCTATGATTTAAATAAAATAAATAAATTTGTCAGTTATTAGTCATACTACATTCTTTTGTACTTGTAGACACATCTCTGCATCGAAAATATCTAATTTCGTTATGAGTAAATAACAGCTCGCTAGTGACTTGCTACAGGATAGAGTTTCCTCGAGTTCTAGTGAGAAGTCGTGACCATTGAGGTCCAATTAGATGTCACGTGTGTGGATGGATGTCCCACCAACGACAATGGTTGGGGTCGCGCTAAATCACGAATTGGTAGAAGTTAGAATTCATGAGCCATTGAATCGGGTCCCAGTGGCTGAATGGTATACGAGCTTGCCTTGTAACCGGAAGGTCCTGGGTTCGAATCCCAGTGGGTGCGTACTGGCGATGATTCCCAAACTAGGATGAAACGGCAGCTGTCCAGTACTCCCTGGTTTTCAATGGTTCTCTAACTGATATCAATCCGTGATCAACTCGTAAAAACATAACAAACCCTTACAAAGCAAACTATAGAGAATTAATCTGATGCTCGCTAGTAACTTACTACAGGTTGGAGTGTCCTGAGTTGTAGTGAGAAGTCGTGACCAGTGAGGTCCAATTAGATGTCACGTGTGTGGATGGATGTCCCACCAACGACAATGGTTGGGGTCTCGCTAGATCACGAATTGGTAGAAGTTAGAATTCATGAGCCATTGAATCGGGTCCCAGTGGCTGAATGGTATACGAGCTTGACTTGTAACCGGAAGGTCCTGGGTTCGAATCCCAGTGGGTGCGTACTGGCGATGATTCCCAAACTAGGATGAAACGGCAGCTGTCCAGTACTCCCTGGTTTTCAATGGTTCTCTAACTGATATCAATCCGTGATCAACTCGTAAAAACATAACAAACCCTTACAAAGCAAACTATAGAGAATTAATCTGATGCTCGCTAGTAACTTACTACAGGTTGGAGTGTCCTGAGTTGTAGTGAGAAGTCGTGACCAGTGAGGTCCAATTAGATGTCACGTGTGTGGATGGATGTCCCACCAACGAAAATGGTTGGGGTCTCGCTAGATCACGAATTGGTAGAAGTTAGAATTCATGAGCCATTGAATCGGGTCCCAGTGGCTGAATGGTATACGAGCTTGACTTGTAACCGGAAGGTCCTGGGTTCGAATCCCAGTGGGTGCGTACTGGCGATGATTCCCAAACTAGGATGAAACAGCAGCTGTCCAGTACTCCCTGGTTTTCAATGGTTCTCTAACTGATATCAATCCGTGATCAACTCGTAAAAAGTTATATAGTATAAAAATGCCACGAAGAGTTTTCATAAATAAGCAGAAAATAATTCATTTTGCATATTCCACAGTCTTACACTTTGTTGTGATATGATGTTGTATTTCATCATTAATAACTTTCAGGATTATCTCAATTCAATGGTTTTTGTGTTATATTTCACATCCTTCTAGTTATCCATTCATGAGACAAATGATGGAGACGATCGATATCTTTTAGTAATGAAAGGTGCACCTGAACGTATTCTTGATCGATGTGGAACAATTCTTATCAATGGTAAAGAAGAAGTTATGGATGAAACAATGCGTGAGAATTTCAATAGCGCTTATTTAGAACTTGGTGGTATGGGAGAAAGAGTATTAGGATTCTGTGATTATCGTCTACCAGCGGATACATATAAACGGTACGTGAAATATTTTCTTCACGATGTATTCGTTGATATTACATTTTTAAAGATCTATTGACATCAGCAAACCTCTATTCATTCGTTATATTATTATAATTCCCCTGAGTTCCGATCGCTTCTAAAGCATATCTCCTTTCCATCCTGTTCTCTGTAATAGACTTTAGCTGATTTCACCATTGGCCATAAGCTTTCATTTCCTCCATGTCCAACTCTTCTTTTCTAATATGAGTTCCAATCACGAGTGCCTGCGTGGCTTATGATGTCATTCAATGGTCTCCTCAGAACATGTCCTATCCATCTCCGTTTTCTCCGGCATATTTGTTGGGCAATGGACTCTAGGTCCGTTCGTTGCCTGTTAAAGTTCATTGTTGCTTGTCTTTTCTAGTCAGCCATCTGATCGTCAGTATCAAGGAAGCGAAGATGTCTGTTAATCTGTATGATGTGACAAGTATAAAAAGATGAGAGGTTCGTTGTCATAGATACCTTCATCCAAATTTAACGATATAGCAATGTAATGATTTGCCTACATGTATTGCGTTCGGTAAGCAGATGAAATTAGTGGATATGGCTTTAGTGCTTCACTGGTTGATTGTTAAAAATGCCAAGCAACCGCCTGTATTGGCGAGCCAGGTATGCTGAAATAAGATTAGGTTATAAATAAAGAATAGTTAAGGGAAGGTTAAAAGTTTTGTGCATTACAAATGACAAGTTTTGAAAAACATCCTCCTTATCGTCCAGTCAGTTTGATTTGGCAACTGAACACAATTACGCAGTTGAATCAGAAAACCGTTGAGTGACATCACACACCAGGAACCCTAGTTGAGTGTTTCTCCGAGATTGACATGAAGGAGATGATGTGAGAAGGAGACGAAAGCTTATGGGTAGTCGTGGAGATAGATGAGAATTAAATGAGATGTGCTGTGTTGTTTCCCACCTCCCACCCCCCAAGCGAATAGTAATACACATCCTTATTTTGAATGTTGCTAGTTTAATGTATTTTTAATAGAAGCATAGTTTGGAAGAAATTTCACCTCTTCAAGTTCATCATGCTGCAACAACAGCGAAATGGTTAAATGATAAGATGTATAGAATAAATCAGAAATACTAGAAAAATGTTGAGAATCTTCGATGTAATTTTTGGTATGAATACATTTTGTGTTATATTGTGATTTGAATTCTTATTATATTACTTACATTGGATGGATAAGCATTGTTATGAGTGATTGGCAGGCGTATCCTTTTTGCTTAACCTCTCTGTCTTTCTGTTAAGAACTACTGTAGAGCATTTTAATATGATAGTTGTTTTCTTCTTTCTTTCAGTGGTTATGCGTTCAACGTTGATGAACCGAACTTTCCAATAACTAATTTACGTTTTGTTGGCCTAATGTCTATGATTGATCCACCTAGAGCAGCTGTACCAGATGCAGTTGCTAAATGTCGATCAGCTGGTATCAAAGTTATCATGGTAACTGGTGATCATCCAATAACGGCAAAAGCTATTGCTAAAGGTGTTGGAATCATATCAGAGAATTCAAAAACTGTAGAAGATATTGCGGCTGAAAGAGGTATTCCAGTCCGTCAGGTAATTCATTTCGGTGAAATAGGTCTTTGTTTTTGCTTCTTGAATTTGCATCAGAATCCATTTTGCTGTATTTTCGTATCGATGCAAAGAATCTTTTTTCTTGTTAGGAAGAGGAAAAAGTCAATCATCTTCATCTGTTATCTCCATTTTCGGCGTAACCTACTATATTCAATGTTCAAGATGTGTTCAATAGATACATATTTGTTGATAGTAACCAGATGACGCTATGAACTATTGATTGGTTGATTGAATGAGATGAATAGTTGTATGCCACTCACATCAACTAGTAGAGGTTGTTAGCCGGATTATCTAAATATTGGATGGTACTTTCACTTGTTTGGGACCAAGCTCATCAGTGGCTGAGAAACTCGAATCACTTCACAAATGTAGTTTTAACCAGTATTTCTGACCACAGACCGTTAACTTTTAACTGATTTCTCTGTGTCAAATATCCAGATATCAGAAATTCTGGACCTATCGCTGGTTTCAGAAGACTAAGCTTAATACGCATAACACTGTACTGTAACCGACGCAGAACAACAGAAAACGGCTGTGCAACCCGATTGTTTATTCTTCAAGCAATAACGAAACAAATTTACAATAGTTAATCAGTGCTAAAGTCTAAATAAATGCTAATATAGTGTACAACTATACTTCTGATCGTGTTTCTGCAATCTTCTGCCAACCAGTGCAGGATTAAGCTATAACTGCCTTCTTGTTCCCCTTCGATGGAGACCAGTTCGAATAAACAAACTATTCACTGTTCACCAGCATTGATACTCCGAATATTTCAGTTTTTCTGACCTCTCTATTATTACAATGATATTAATAAAAATATTTGAGTGTGATAATTAGTTTTGTTCTAGATGCTTTCTTATGTTAGCGTCGGTTCATTGGTCGCAGAATACTAGCCAACTGCGCATGTGTTTGGGGGTTCGATTCCCGACCGACAGACCTTTAAACCTCTTTTCGTCAGTAGAGCAAAACTGGTAAGCAGGGAAGGTCTGATGTTGGACTAGCTAATCTATCCCGTTAAAAATTAACACTATCGCTTACTGAAACTTCATATCTGAAGCTTGAATCCCCCATTTTCCATTAGGGGAAGGCAAAAGAATGAAATATAAGGGAATATGAAATTATTCAACATGCATTGAATGTATTATATTTAGGCCGATTCCACCTGATTTCCTTTCAAGCGATTAGTTTAACACGACATGTTTATTCTTTTACTCCCCTGCTTTTCATTATATATATATATATATATATATATATATATATATATATATATATATATATATATATATATATGCTTAATTTACTACTATTGTTTGTATTGACGATTATATATGTGTATTAGGTTAATCCACGTGATGCACAAGCATGTGTTATTCATGGATCAGATTTACGTGAAATGACACCAGCACAAATCGATGACATTCTATTGAATCACTCAGAAATTGTATTCGCTCGTACTAGTCCCCAACAAAAATTGATTATAGTTGAAGGATGTCAACGACAAGGTGCAATTGTTGCTGTGACAGGCGATGGTGTAAATGATAGTCCAGCTCTTAAACAAGCAGATATTGGTATGTTGTCAAAATTGGATGTACATACAGATATATATTTATTTTTGTAAGAATTTTACTCTCGTTACATGTATATCATACCTGCTCGTCATCATGTAATTTATCACAGGGCCATTCTCGTTCTTAAGGCTGACACTGATGTAGACGGTTATTTACACGGTTTTTTTTAGCTTTCTTGTAATGCTTATCCTCTCACACTCACATTGCATTCCCTATTTCGCACTGCTTCCCCAGAGTTACAAATGTACATGTCAGTGGACAATTTCCTTTACTATCAGTGTTTTTAGTATATATTAAATCGATTAAACATGAGGTTAAGGACCAGTGAAAATGAATAACGAGATTTTAGGTGACATTTCATGAATAGAACAGGAATTTTTTACCAACAATTTGGAAATACAAGTGTGTTGGACTGTGAGTTTACGATGACCACCACTGTTTGTCTTCATAGCATCATATCAGGCCTATAAAGTTATGTGAATTTTACGGGGGTTAACCGAGATTGACAAGGAACTGAACCAACTGTGAGGTGGCCACAGTATGTTATTTATAATATTCAGCTGACTAAAGTCGGCGTAGACTGGAAATTGTTATGCGTATAATTCCTGAAAAATGTTAAATGTATTATTGGTGACTGACTCTAAGTGGTGAAAGGCTTGCATTCTATAAATACGTTTATTTTTATAGTTATTTCTTGTTTGTTCACCATTTCAATGTAACCATATGAGGTGTTGTTACATTTCGTATTGTTACACAGTATTACCGAAAAGTCATATGCTCTTTGTTTCTGATCACCAAAGACGTGACTTGTTAATGGTCTTTTAACGTACTAGTTAATTTTGTAAAGTGTTCTCCTTTTTGTCGTAAACATTAGACTATATTAAAGAGATCCTGTTCTCATTACACTCTGTAGCCTTACCGTCGATAATTGAATTTGATGTAAACTTTTAGTTCCAGTTGTAAGTTGGTCTTGGTACAGTCAACACATCTGTGGCGGTAATTAACCCCAGAACACTACTAGCCTACACAGCCTCACCATCTTTTAACATTGGGTGCTGATGTTCACCGTTTAAGTTAACTGGTTGAGCTGATGCTGGCGACCAAACACCCACGTCACTTGACACATTGTCTTGTTACATTCAATTATTCGTGTATGTACTTCTAGTTAATAAAGCATGTATCATGGCTCAGTTGCACCGCTCTTGAATTGTATTTCTTATTGTTGTTCTAATTTGGACTACCGACTGTTTTCTGGTCCACATCGAATCCGCACATTTAGAGTTGGAGGATAGTATGTTGTATATGTGTACTATACTTTAAAGAGTTATAAGCAGTTAGAAAGACAAACAAACAAAATTCCTACATTTATTCTCCTTAATGAATTTGGACAGAGCAATAACAACACCTTTTGCAGAATAAAATGGTACAATCATTTATTTCGTTGCCTCCTCGTCAGCTGCTTACAGGCCAAAGACATTATTAAATATATCTACAAAAACAATTTTAACATACTTGCACAGAGTTCATTTCAAACAAAAATAAAAGATATTAATATCAAGAACAAAACCATGATATCTCCGGACATAACATCGTTATTCACAAATGTACCTCTAATAGAAACAGTTAATTACATAGGTGAACAAGTAGACAAGTAGTCGATCAACATTGGCATCCATACTGAAATCCTAAAATAATTGATATTAAGATGTACCATGAATGTAAACTTCAAATTTGACGGCATCCTTAACAAGCAAGTGGACGGGGTGGCAATGGGCTCCCCATTGGGTCCCATTATGGCTGATTTCTTTCTAAGTAAGCTAGAAAATGGACTTTTAAACAACCCTATATGTATTATTCCTCCCTTGGGTTCCTAGTGGAACATAGGGCTTCAACTGCACGTCTCCATTTTCTTCTGTCTTCTGCTATACTTTTCGCCTGCATCCATGTTAATCCATATTCTTTCAACTCCTCTTCACACGATCTCCTCCATGTCACTTCTTTGTCCAATGCTTTGTAAGTTGAGCTCATCGTCTCCTCCTGTCCGTCCTTTCATTGAATTATTTTCTCTTTCACCATTCTCCTCTCTTCTATTAATTTCCAAGTGTCCGTTGAGAGCCATTCCTTGTCTTGTCTCTTCTTTCTTCCTAGAACCGTTGAACACGTTTCGTTGAGAATCGCCTTCAGAGACTTCCAATGTTCTTCCACGCATGATTCTTCAGTGCTGTCGCGTAGTGTTTCCTGCTTTGCTCTGACAGTTGCAGTGAAGGTGTCTTTTGTGGTTGTGTCCTTCAGTAATTGAGTGTTGAACTTGCATTGTGGCCTATCCCCAGCTATCCTCGAGGCTTTTAGTTTCACCTTGAAAGTCCCTTGTACTAGATAGTGGTCTGAACCCACATCTGCTCCTCTCCTTGACCTTGTGTCCAGTAGGCTCCGTCTCCACTTTCTTGAAATTGAGATGAAGTCTGTTTGGTTCTTGGTGTTTCCATCTGGTGAAATCCATGTCGTCTTGTGTATATCCTTGTGTTTGAACACACTACCGCCAATCACCAAATCATTGAAGGCGCAGAAGTCTGAGAAGAGTTCACCATTGTCGTTCATTTCACCGAGGGCCTCACGACCCATGGTGAATTCTCTTCCTGTGTTGTCTCGTCCCAGCTTCGCATTCATGTCGCCCATCAGGATTTTGATATCGCCATTTGGGACGTTGTCCATTATTGCTTGTAGTTGTCTGTAGAATGCCTCCTTCTTCTCTTGTTCTGAGACGTTTGTAGGCGCATAACATTGAATGACTGTAACTTTCCTTCCTTTTGAGTTGAACCTGGCTGTCATTATCCTGGAGGAGAATGGTTCCCACTGCATGAGAGCTTTGGTTGCTGTTGGTGACATCATGATGGCCACTCCCTCGGTGTGCTTATGGTTGTCCTCTAGGTGGCCGGAATAGATTACTGTCTCTCCAGTAGGTAGTTGGCACCTTCCAGTTCCGTTCCATCTGCTCTCGCAGATTCCCAACACTTCTATTCTGTACCTTCTCATTTCAGCGGCTATCTGGGCAGCCTTTCCAGTTTCGTACATTGTGCGAACATTCCAGGTACCCATCCTTACTTTTGCTTTCATCGAAAGAAGGCACATCGGCTGACTGGCTTCCCGAAGGCTTTCACCAGCCTGCGTCATTTCACTTCCCCGATTCCAGCGAAAAGTAAGGCTATTGCCTATGTTTTTAGAGTTTTTAATATATTTATTCGTTGAGGTTTCTGCAGCGATTTGGTTGTTTTACAGGGGTGGAGTTGCTAGCACCACGCCTCAACCCTCCCTCTTTACCTGAGCTTGGGACCGGCGATAAAACTAGCAAGCTAGTATCTGGCGAGGTTATATATATATATATATATATATATATATATATATATATATATGGTCGGCCTGCGAAATTTGGGCTAACGATATCCATGCTGAAAATTCCATGCTTGTACCAAAAATACAGTGTGGTTTCAAGCTGTAATCAAAAATAAAATAAAAATAATATATGTATGTATATATAATAATAATCACTATTCCGAACATTAATAATAATACACAATGGGAACTTTTCAGCATTACGCATTCAGATGAAAGAGAGATGAGAATATCCAGTTACCAGGGCAAAGAAAGACTGATAACTGCTTCTTTCTGAACGCACAAATCAGGTTTCAGGCGCTTGATGGAGATGTCTACAGCAAACTTGAGGAGAATTGAACTCTTCTGCCTATTGATAATTTTGGACGATCTTGCGACGTCCACCTCATGACCCGTGTCAAGGAAATGTCTAGTGATAGCACTGTTTAAAGCATTTGTTCCCTTTAGACATAAGCTTTTTGGTACATGTTCAGAAAATCGTAGATGTGCCCTTCCTTCTGTCCTTCCGATGTAACTGCCCCCGCAGATACATGTAAATTTGTATATACAGTTGGAGTTACCATTTTATTCTGCAAAAATTTTTGTTCTTGATTTATTCAAAACAAAATTCAAGTCATCAGAAATCAACAGGGTTATTACGATGATAGTGCAAGTGGTTGAGTAGTTTTATTTTCTATACATAGCTCCGGTTTTTCTAAGTGAATGGCTAGACCTTCAGTGATGCAAAGAAGATGGAGGCGTATTGCCTTCGGCAGGTTGTTCTTCACTCTATAGATTACTTTGAAGAAGGCGTTTATTTAGATGAACAATGTCTCAGTAGGACAGTAAGTGTCCAAACAGGACGTGAGATAGCCGGTGATATCAGAGACAGTAACGCCCAACATTTTATCAACAAATAGGTTCCAGTTAGTATCATGCAACATGCATCTTAGCCGAAGAATATTGTCTTATGAACAGGATCGTCCTTGAGTTTTCTTTGTTATGTGAACAAAAACCCTTCTGTGTAACTTGCTATACACTTTCAGTAAAATACGAATAACGCGATGTTCAGAATTCAGCAAAGGAGCTCTCCTTCTCACTTTATGTATGTCACGATCGGTTATGAGAACCAAGTTTAGGGTGTCTCTCACAGACGTGAGTAGAGACTTCGTAGGATTGCAGAATAAGGAGTCTTTAGGTAAAATATACCTACATAAATCTAAACTGCGCATTCATACTTTTTTGAATGATTCAGATACCCTGTTGCTGATTTCAGGAGAGTATGCTTTAGCTTTGGCTGATTATTTTTGTTGTGATTTATTAATATGATAATTCAAAGTATGAAAATGTTAGCCATGCATTCAGATATTGTAGGATTGATATCTCTGAGACAATATGAGGAACAATTTTAAATTGGTTATTTCGAATAGTTACTTTTATAGCTTTTCTCTAGTGCTGATGCAAACGTATTGTACGTTATTACATCTCGTGGAAGTTGATTTCACCGTTGAAATACTTGAAAGAGTATTAGTGTTGCACGATCGCTAAGCTAGTGGGAAAAATGTTTGAGGCCATTCACACTGGAAATATTTCCATTAGTGAAAACTGCTGATATATTACATATTCAGACGAGTCACCTGTACTACTCTGTTCACTGAATTCTGAATTCACAGACCACCATTAGGCTGATTGGTCCACGACTAACAATCGGTGCTTTGTATGGGAACTGACTGCTGCAGATTGTAACTAATGCAGCTGTCGGGTTTTCGACTTTTGTTATTAAACTTTATAATACGACAACTTTTATGCAGTGCATTTCTATATGAGATGATGAATGCCAACTAGAAATATAGGACTATGCACTCCCACTGATACATTTCTCTTGAATTGTGGGCGACCAAAAAATACCACTTACATCAACTTACATTTTGCTTCGATTTGATTCTATATTTCTGTCTTAATCAATCACAAACGTCTTCAAATCGTATTATTCATGATTGCGTGTTTTTTTTTAAATCTTTACAACTTATCACTTTGAATCATCCTCAAAATTTGAGGGAAAAAATCATTGGTTGGCAGTGTGCATTAAAACGTACACAAATTAGTCATGTGACTGTTCCCAAAGTTGGTAATACTAACTGAAGGTCTCTGTCTAACAAAGTGGACCATGTCAAATCTCGAGTATCCTCAGATGTGTATCGGAATGCCGCTGTTTTAGCTATACGAGAGACTTGGTTCCACCAGCAATGTGACGATAATCTAACCTCAATAAAGGGATATGAAGTTTTCCGTCGGAACAGACACAATTTAAAGAAAAAGCATGACGGAGGGTGTCAATGGAGGCGAACATTGAACATTTGTTTATTGACCATGGTAGCCATTGGCGGGTAACTCGAAGGCGCGAATGGTTCAATCGTGTACAAGTTGGAAGTTTAAAAATTGTTTTCTTTATTCATCCGAGTTGTTTATACGAATATGCGTGAGAGTGGGTGTACATGTGTGTATACGTATACCAATTGTCTTTAGTGAATAAAACTTTTGGCGTTATGGCGACCACAATGATTTATTCATTCAAACAGGAAAATCAACATTCACCACAACAGTCAGGGAATATTAATTCTGGTTTTGTAATTATTTGCTGCTGAACAGCATTCATCCACATGGATCCCAGCCGATAGCTTCTACGGTGACGTGATGGTGGAGGTTGCATATAGCAGTGGTTCTCACTGACCCAAATGGCTGAAAAAATGTTCCTACGGGTCCAACTAGGCCGTTTGATATAACAGTTAGAGGGGTGTTCTACTTACTGCTTGTTATTTACAAGTTTGTATTCTCATTACTTGCAGTTACCCATGGAATAAAGGGAAATAAAAACTTTCTGACGACTTTCTCTTTACCTTTTTCAGGTGTTGCCATGGGTATAGCTGGTAGCGATGTGAGCAAACAAGCTGCTGATATGATATTATTGGATGATAATTTTGCCTCTATTGTGACTGGTGTCGAAGAAGGCCGTATTATCTTCGATAATTTAAAAAAATCAATAGCATATACGTTGACGTCGAATATCCCCGAAATTACACCCTTTTTAATTTATATTCTTGCTGATATTCCATTACCCCTGGGTACAATTACTATCCTGTGCATCGATCTTGGTACTGATATGGTAAGTGAGATGTCAAATTACTCATAGATTTTTATGTTGTTACATATTTGAACATTGAGGTACGTCTTTGAATTTAAGCAAAAACTGGAAGTGCAAATTATTCTACACATAAAGGTGGTTTTTGTTTCTCTGACTTTTAACACTCGATACTTTAGAATCAAACTATTGTTCGTTGAAGTGCTTTTATTTGAAACTCACATCTATCTGTTCCTACTGTGAAGCATTCGCTAGTGGGATCGTGGTACACTTTATTACTAATTTACCAATTCTTGGTAGCCGATAGTTATATTCAATCTGTCTATAAAAACCAACAATTATGAAGAGTGGACACCATTCTTGTTTATGACTGTCTCTGTTATGATTTCTTGAAATAATATGGAAGATTTTGTAGCTCGAATAGCCGACTTTTACATAGGTGCGTTCCCTGGGGCCCTAAGCTTGGTGACTTCGTCACTGTAAAAAAAATACAACTAAATTCCAAGTCAATGAAAATGACCAGTAGTGATGGAAATTAACAGCCAATCACAATTTAAATAAGATAATTTCATTGGTGGATGGTGACTACCAGTGGAATCCAGGATAAAGCGCATTTCGTCCTATTTTGGACTCGTCATCTGGATGTACCTGCATTCCTCAGTGAGTGATGTTCCCACTAGGGCTCGAACCCAGTAAAAAGATAATTTCATGTTGAAGCTTGCACTGGAGAAATGTTGTCTAGAAAAACAATGAATGCTTCTTATGGAAATCAACCAGCTCAGAGAACTCAAACACGTGGAAATGGTCCCTTCTACTGATTTAATGTAGATATTCCAGAGAAGTCTTAGTTGATTCGTTTAAATTGTAATAACTGTATATTATTATTATTAAAGATTTAACACTAGTTCTGCCAAAATTAACAAAGGAAGGAGATTATACAATGGGGAATTAAGTGGATATTCCCGTTTTTCAGTCAGCTATAATTCAGTTCACAAGAGATAGGACTTCCTGTGATGAACGCTATATTTTGTGATATCAGTTTATTGTAAGCAAGTGAGGTTTTCTACTGTCTTTGAAAATCCCACCATTGGTTAAGTGTTTGAATGGAAAGTAATTTTTAGCGAGAGTGTGGGAAACTGCGAATGGCTTACATGACCTGCTGTCCGGGTCTAACTGTGCAATACATCCTTCATATGTAAGTTTCACAACTGAACTGTGTTGAAACGTAGCTGCTATAAAGAGGAAATGAATAATAGGAGGGTGATATTTTCTTCTAAGACGGTTTTTTTTTCATTAAGGCTGTTCTTCTCGACACAGATTCATTTTTATAAACACTTCATTGGTTACCAAGAATTTTCGCGTCTCTTTAAAGGTGAGCTGTAGTCCCTTTCTATCATACTAGTTGCCAAACTAAAGTAACTGGTCAGTCACACATACTTTTACCGAATAAGTAGTTGTTACTGCAAATGTGGAAGCATGTGGATTGAGGAGGGACATGGTTTTAATCAATCCTTGTCTTTTATACACACCCAATTAGAAACTCTCTTGGGCTGAAGCAATCTTAGGTTTTGTAAGTTCAGTGGATAACACTTTGACTTTTTAAATGAGGTAGGTATTGGGCTCAAGTCTTATTGGGAACACCATCATTATCATCACTCAATGAGAACTGCAAGCACATCCAACTAAAGCGATTCTTAAATAGAAAGAAATGCGCTTGCCCTGGCTTCTATTGCCAGTCACCATCCACCAAATTACTGACAACGACTGTTGATTTTTTATTTTCAGATTTTGTTTCAACTCATTGTTCCACTGTTATTGTTGTTGCTGTTGTTTAGATTCCAGCTATCTCACTTGCTTATGAAGAAGCTGAAGCTGATATTATGAAGCGTATGCCACGTGATCCTCTACATGATAAACTAGTCAATGAACGATTAATTTCAATGGCTTACGGTCAAATTGGTATGATTCAAGCTTCTGGTGGTTTCTTTGTCTATTTTGTTATTATGGCTGAGAATGGATTTTGGCCATCACGCTTACTTGGAATTCGACGTGAATGGGACTCGAAAGCTATCAATGATTTAGCTGATTCTTATGGACAAGAATGGGTAAGTTATTCAAACAAAAATGAGGAAAAATTGTATCACATCAGAGTTATCAGCATCTGGTTTTCGGGAATAAGCTGATCAGTAAGGAGCTTACCAAAAGAGACTAGGTCTTACAGTACTCTTTAATCCTATCACTCCACAAGGTATGCCTACTTTGCATGTACGAGCTTCATAGTCTATCAAAAAATATTGGGTATAGCCAGTTCTTGAGAATTTCCTTTGTGTTTAATGTCACATTAACTCGACAGTGTACAAACGAATACCAACAAGTTTGCAGAAGAAGCAGTGGAGATACAACTTCAAGTGGATATAAGAAAAAACAGATATGATGGAAGTAACCAACAAACAACAACAGGGAGCACCAATCACCACCAACGGGGGAAATTTGAAGATCACTTCTTTTAATCATCTAGGAAGCATCGTTTCAACTACAGGCGGGATCGGTCGTGATAATTCCAAAAGCAGGATCAGAAGGGTAAGGCAGACCTTCATTAATCTGAAATCAGTTTGAAAATCTGTTGCACTCAGTGTGCAGAACAAGATTCAGAGTATCAATACTGATATCAAGTCAGTGAGTCTTCTATGGTTCAGAGACCTGGCACATCATCAAAATCAATCCCGACAGGCTTCAGAATTTCACCAACATTTGCCTTCTCATCCTCCATCGTCTAGGGATGATAAACAACACTAAACTCTACCAGTCAAAGAACCATCCAGTAACTCAAAGCCCAACAAATATTCCGAAAGAAATGTGACTTAATTGGACAGACACTTGGGAGGTAATTGATTAATATTGCGCTCCAGGAAGACCCTCAAGTGAACCTGCATGGGCAATGACTAGTTGGGAATGGATCGGAGGAGATGAAAGCCTATGTGTGACTGTGGAACCAGCTAATGGGGACTGCAGGATAAAATGGAAATGTGCTGTAGGAGTCCTATGTTCCACTCGGAATCTAATAATATAATACTGATAAATGTAAAACTACCGGTGTATATCTTTTGGCAGCAATTTGACTTGGTAATTGTTTACATTTGTAAATTGCATTGTTGGTTGTGCTGCTTTCTTCACAGCAATCATACGTGAAATACACATTTAGGGAGTTGTCTTGCTTTAACCAAAGTCACAATAATACTGTTGTTGTGGAAAGTGACGGGGACCAATAGCCTCCGTAGTATCGCTATACCGTCGAATTTCTCTTCGCACAAATTTTGATAGAAAATATTATTTTTATTAAAACAAACTCGGTACACTATGGGCACCAATAATAGATGCACAATACAAAATAACATGGTTTGTGCAAAGGCCGCGAGTGTCCGGATGCCCAAGAAGAAACAGGTGGTTGTCGTAACCAGCCGCCCTTCACGAGCCTTTCACTTGAAGTCTGATCCATGAAGCAGTGGAGTAGCGTCCATATCTGAGTTCCCATGATTGACGATGACCAAACCAGGTTCGTACGCCATTCGATCCTTCCAGATCCTGGCTCCAATGTACGCGATAGCTTTAAAATGAAGGTTTTTCATGTTCCTTATGTATACCAGCAATCCGGACATAGGCTCCAGACTCTCGAACTCGCCCGCTCACTTTTGTAAGGAGAACTACCAGCTGCTTGAAGACAGTAAATGGGACTTACCTTCTTTTGATTACAGCCTGATTCCACACCGTATTTTTGGTTTAAGTATGAAATTTTAAGCATGTGATATCGGTAGCCCAAATTTTGCAGGCCGACCATAGATATCAGGTGTGCGCGTTGGCAGGGGACCGAACCTCAGACCATTTGCATGGTCGGTGAGAGTCCTAACCACTGTGCCACTGACGCACATAGACTATGAACGCGTGGCCAAATGTGAGAGCATTTCGGGAGGAAGACCGAAGTCTTTCCACTCTCTGCTGTAGCAGGTCGTTTATGGAGGTGATAAAATACGTATGAATGAAACGATCAACCATTCTTACTCCTGCCACTTGTGATTACCTATGTTACTCTAATAATATTCACTTGTTTAATACTCTAAGTGCGTTAGCATCTCTATCCATCTCCCAAACTATAATATTTAAGCCATCTCTTGTATTGTATTCATTAGCAAAACAATAACTTTTGTGTTGTGTGTTTAGAGAGTGAACGAGTACTACTCTTGTTTCTACTACAATGAATTTATTAGTTCTTAGAAATGCTTTTGTAAACCTATGATTTTTTTAAAAATTTTATTTGTACAGACTTATCATCAGCGTAAACGCTTAGAATATACATGCCATACAGCATTCTTTGCATCAATTGTCATTGTCCAATGGACTGATTTGATGATTTGCAAGACACGTCGTAATTCAATTTTCCAACAAGGCATGTGGAATCATCATCTAACCTTTGGTTTATTCTTTGAAACAACACTGGCTATATTCTTGTCCTACTGTCCTGGTTTAGACAAAGGTCTACGTATGATGCCTATGAGGTGAGTGTTTCCTTCAATGATGTAGAAGTTTGAATTGCAAATTCTCTAAAAAAAATTTTATCACTGACTTTATGTGTGTGAGGTATGGCCATTGAGAGTGGAGAACATGAAAAGCCTGGCTAGCTGTCTTTGATCATAGGTGCCTGCGTTCTATCTCCCGTGTGAAGTGGTATAATAATATGAGCAATATTGAGGTTAGGCATCGATCGAGAGCTAACTAAGGAGAGAAAATCAATCAAAAAGGTTGGGAAGTTACACCGATTGAGATGGTTAGGGCATGTGTTACACATGCCTAGCCATCGCCTTCCTCGATAATTGGCAATGTTAGCTAACATAGGATTGATCAGGTTGGAAAATTTCTAGTAGTGGTCAAGTGAAAACATGGCTTCATCAGTCAATGAAACCCACAACAGTTAGTTCAAGCCAGTCACGTATGGAGGTGTACACTGTCAGTCTGGTTGGGTTCCTCGGGATGGTTAAAACCAATGAAGGCTGAAGATAATTGGTGATATGACCCAAAATCGTTCTCAATGGCTGGTGCAGATGCATTTACTCTTTGTGATGTATAATATCCAGTAAAGCTCTATTGTTCTTCTATATTACTATTCTTTTTGCCTCATATCTCTGTTTACTGTCTCTACTTTGCATTTCTCTTTACTTTCTAATCTTCCTTTGTGTGCTAAGTGAATTGTGGCAACTCGAACTGCTGCACATCTGTGCAAAGTTGCATGTTGAAACCAATCAGTCAGTTATCAATAACTCGTGATATATGGTTTAACGAAAGATTAAAAACCGACAGCTATTGGACAGTTGTTTCATTCTAATATATTATATTGACCCCTGGGGGGTTATCATTGACTTACTAACAAGAATATAAATGTCAAGTTAGTTTTACATGCCGATTGGACTCTCAGTTAGACAACATGGTTTTCTGTCTAGTAGCAGGGGGATAATTTGATTATCATGCCTGAATCTGTGTGGATTTATATTGGAATGTGTGAATCAAACTTTTCAAAACGGGCATAATTACAACGGTAATATAACCGATTTTTAGATCCAGTAATTGAAGATGCGTAACATATTCTAGCCGTTTAGGAGATGAACTTTTATAACTGCAAAGAAATAATTCTTTTCGATAACTTCGTCTTAATCAGGTCCATAATAATTTAAGAAGTTTTGTTATTAACAGTGTTCGCGTTTTTTTCTGATTAACATTGGATCAATAAGACCATTAGATTACAGTTTGAAAGCATCTGTTAGTGATAGTATGCATAAAAATATATTCATAAACTGAGTATCAGATAAGTTAATAAAAAAATAATACAGAATTTGTGAATTTATAGGCTACACAGCAGGTCAGGTTAACGATAGTGACTGAGCCTATCTGGTTTGTTCATGAGGCTCTGGTTGTTTTAAGCTAATACAAAAAAACGTTCAGAAAAATCTTGTTTTGATTTTCTTAACACACTGGGATTAATTTAAATAATTTATAATAAATGTCTTTATTGTTTGGAGTGCTCAGTATTTAGAAACCTCTGGTAACTTACTCAGTATACAAAAAGTGATGGGAAAAGACTTTCCAAATGGCCTATTCGTATGAGGGGATCTGATATTGAACTGGATCTTTACTTAGCTACACTGGTAGGTATTCTTGAGCACGAGAAATTAGGTCCCTAGAGCAATGGTTAATACAACTGGCACCAAAAGAGTATTTGGATCGGTAGATACAAAAAGAGTCAGCTAGTCTAATTACTTCATCTTCACCGTAACCGGTCGTGTGGAAAATATGAGTTGCAGCTTACCGGCATTAAAAGTCCTTCTTAACAATCTTTTCAACTTGTGATTATTATATGGCTTGTTACATGACCTTTTGATTGCAGAGACTACTTGTCAGTAGGTACAGAAGAATTTCCTCCAAATCCCCCTTGGCCCCATGTGTTTTTGCGTTATTTTTTGCAGGATAGATGTTTCACTTGTAATCTTAACGCCATCTCCAATTGCATCCGAACAAATAGCTCTGATCGTGTAGCTGAGGATTTTTCCGAATTTCGTTTGTACTGGATAACGATTCATTCATGTATCTTACACAGGATGAATGATGTAGATGAACTTAAATATACGTGTTCGAGTATGACGCTTTTATTGACCTGACGGAAGTTCTTCAATCACCCATATACTACAAAAAAGCAGGGTTTTTTATTTATTCGATATATATATATATATATATATATATAATCTCTCATTTCCTCTTAAATTACAGGTTCACTTGGTGGCTTCCAGCATTACCGTTCAGTTTGCTTATATTCATCTATGATGAAGTAAGAAAGTTCCTGCTAAGGCGGTTACCACCTGGATCATGGCTTGAAAAGGAGACATATTATTAGTAGTAATTCTAGTAGAAATAGCATCCTATATGAAAGTACTGATTCCATGCTTTTATTTCCTATATATCTCTTAGCAATCACTGATACTTTACATTTCTCTTCCGTTCTGCAAACTTCATCGATTCTTTTCTCCTTCAATGACTATTTCCCTCTACATCTTTGACCTTTCATTTCGTTGTTTTGTGTCTATTTCATGATTTCTAGAAGTTAAGATTTCTGTGTCTGTCTCTGGATTATATTTCATCGTCTTATATAAGTTTGTTTTTTCACAATGTAATCAATTGTTTGTTACCTATCATTGCTATTTTATTGCCTGTTGTCATCATTCGTAATAACAGATATTGATAATTAGATAAGTATGTGAGATAGAAATTTGCCTTACACACACACACACATGAGCATGAATAATTTCTACTTTCTTGTCATTAATACTACTCATTGCACTTCTACTATCATTAGTAATAAAGTGATAGTCCTAGTTGTCATAATTACACTAGTGATGATAATGTGAAACACGCTCTCCTTTTTTATTAGAGAAATTCATACTCCCCCTCCCTTTCTCTTCATCACAATTGATTTGTTTGTTTTCATTCCCTTTCTTTTCCTTCATTGTACCATATTATATCGGTTTGCTATTATTTTGTTTTGTGATTTTTTTTCATTTTGATCTCTTATGTATGTCTTGTTGTTAATTGGAAGGAACAAATTTGTGCGTCTGCATGGTGTGTGTGTGTACAATTTAAGCAGTGTGCTGCTGCTAGAGAAGAATGTGATTATCTTTCTTCTCTGGCTTTCATTTCCATCTCTCACCCTTCATATTCTCTATTCTCTTTTATTTTTTGGTCTATATTAATGAGAATTATGTAATCACATCTGTTAAATTCTGTGTAATCATTCGGCATCGGGGCATATTTGTCCATGTCTATATATGTGTGTGATCATTGAATATTTGCTAGTTGCTGTAACCTTTTCTTTTTCGTGATTATATTCAATGATAATAATAATAATGTTAATGAATATCAATTAGCTTAACGGTGGTTGATTTCTAATACTCGTTATAGTTTAATCTTTATTTTGACAACTGAGATTTTTATGTCTTGTCTGTATGCACATGTGTCACCCATGTCTTTTAGTTCGTTATTCTGTGTGTGTGTGTGTTTGTGTGCACGAACTTCGTTTCATTATTGGTTTCTTTATTTCATCCATTTCATACGTCGTTGCATATTGTTGTTTATTTCTTCTTTTGTGAAATTGGAGTAAAAGCGGAGTTTGTCTTTTTTCTGTATCGCGTTGGTCTGCTCCAACTCCCTTCCCCCTCTCGTCCCCGAGATCTCATATAATTATATAGATGTGTTTGTAGTTTACCTATTAGATAATTTTCTTATTTTCCTCTCTCAGTAGTTGCGTCATAACTCTCTCACCCTGGTATTTCTGTACCAATCACCTAGACATAACTACCTATCATCAGCACGCTTCTAAGAGTAGAGAAAAAGTGCAAGATTATTTGAAATGAAACCATGGGTAGCTGGACAGCTGAACACACACACTGTCTGTCATTCTTTATTGTTCTACTCTCTGTTACTTGATTGTTCCCATTGTTGTCGTAGTTGTGTTTGTTTCACCACTTGCCGTGTTGTCTTTCAAATAGTACGGCGGCTCATTTTGACTATACAAATTAGATAATTCATCCATTTCTGTGTGAGTATTATTATTATTTGAACAATAATCATAGTTAGTATAGTAATACAATTGGTGCTAAGAATAATCAATCGTCAATAAATAATACTGCACAAAACCACAAAGTTTTCGCTGCACCTATATATATATATATATATATATATAAATTGGTCTGTCTCTTCACTTTTTGTTTTTCTGTTCTTGATTTTTGTTCACTCGTATGTTTTTTTTTCCGTAGGATTCTGAATAAATAGAATTTATAAAAAATGATTTCCCCTATGAATTTGTGTCCTACTTCCTTTGAAATTAATAAATAGACGCTTAGTTGCTGCACACTGCATTACCTAAGTCTTTTTTGAGCGTAACAGTAATAGACAAACTTATAACAAACATATGTATATTTGTTCTAGACATATCATTTTTGATAATTATTGAATCACAATCTCAATGTCTATTTTGAAATAATGGAGAGTTGTGGCTCAAGTGGGTTTTTTAGTTGTGGTTGCATTTTTCTGAGCTGAAGCTCTCTCTCTGTCCCCATCTAGACAACATCTCTTCATCAGTGCAGACTTCAATATGAAGCAAAGTTATTTCAATTGTTCTTCTTTGTGAACGTTACAATTTTTATCGCCTGGAAACGTTTGTCGTAATTGGTTAGAAATTCGCATCACTATTAATCGTTTTCATTGATTTAGAATTCAGCTTTCTCTCTGTCATGTGACTTATTCTGTGTTGATCGGTGAATTTCATCTATGGTGGTGTTTCTGTTCTGATTTGTCTGAGTTTCAAGATTCTAGGAATTCTTGGGGACTTTTGGTGTCTCCAGCTACATATATATATATATATATATATATATATATATATATATATATATATATATATATATATATATCCTGCTATATTTACTAGTTTACATATATGTCATAGGATTTTATCATGACCTGACATCCGTTAGAGAACCATCGGGAAAACCTAGAGTACTGAACAACTGGCTTGGGACTATTCATCAGTATGCACCCACCGGGACTTGAACCCAGGACTTTCTGGTTACAAGGCGAGCTGGTAGACCATTCAGCCGCTGGGATCCTATCCAGTGGCCAATACATGAATTCCAACTTCTGCCAATTAACGCCATAACGCGTCACTAACCAATGCCTTCGGTGAGTATTTGTCCTCACGTTCGACCTCCTATACCCCACTGGTCACGAGTTCTCATTAGAACCCCAGGTAACTACCTACCTGAGAGGGCCAGTCACAAACTAGGACGAAACAGGTGTCCAGTACTCCCTTTTGGTTTTCCAGTGGTTCTCTAACCGATGTCAGCTCACGATGACATCCTCTAACCAACCAATCAAATCCCCGCAAACCAATATTTGAATTACAAATATGTGTTGATACGTACCCATCGATCTCGCAGGTTAGTGTCACAGAACACATTCCAAAGTGACTGCAATAATGAATGAAATCACCTGATACAATTAATTCTGGAAATAGATGTGTAACATCATCTGTCACAAAGTACATCATATAGAAGGATCACAAAATTGATTTAAACGGTGCCTTTAAGCCCACATATAAAACCGGTTTGAGTCACATACTTAACTGCGTGGAAGCCTGTTTTACGTGTTCGGAAATTACTTTTCATTACTCTAAACCTGCCTTGGTAATGTACTTTTAGAACCGAAGCTCATTTCACTTATTCTCTATAAACATCTGGACTTATACTGGTAAAAATCGTAATCCTTTACTATCTGTTACCTTTTAAATAAATATGTGTGACAAGCACGTGTGTGATCAGAATGTTCAAAATGTGTTATGCAGGCAAATTATACTTTTCAGAGGAATTTTATCTTCTTATTGCTTCGTTGAAATTTATAAAGCGAACTAAAGGCTATAGACTAAAACTATCCCGAAGTGTTTGAGCTGCCTAAAAAATTGTAATGCTTTCATTTAGATGCGTCAATTTTATAGTATCTCTTCTCTACCACCACTCAAACATTAAAGTATGTTATTATCATCTATAAAACCATTGTAATTTCAGGTAGTCTGCAGCTGATGAAAACCTGTGAAATAGAATGATATCATTTTATACTGCAAATTTCGTCTTCCTTTCTTTATCGAAACTTCATTTGTAATCAAAATACCGTCTTTTAATTTTCGAAAGAGAGACGGAGATTTGTTTTTGGAAAGTTAACTTCAACACTACTATAGTTTTGAATATCTGTCAAACTCACCTACTTAAATTAACAATTAATTTGTTTAAATGTTGGTTTGCAGCGGCTGAATGATGTACGAGTTTTCACGGAAACCTTAAGGTTCTGGGGTTGACCTTTGTTCAGGTAAATTATAGGTGCTTACTGGTGAAGAATCCCAAACTAGAGTGATTTAGCTGTTGATTGGTTTCAATAGTTCCCCAAATGAAATTAATGTGTGAACAAAACTGAAAATAATTAAATCGTTGAAGTGTTTTTAGAGAGAAACACACGTGAATGTGACTGTATCGCCGTTATCGAAATACGAGGGATTTTGTGTGTAAATTATGTCTTCTTGCTTCTATCTTCAACCAACCGACTCATTCATTTATAAACGCACCTACTTTATGTAGATTAGAGGTCACATTAACTTATGATTTAAATAAACGAAGAAGGCTTTGTTTTTCTAAAAATCAGTAATAATACTCTATGATTGTCGCACTCAATTGTTATTGATTTCGTTGTTTTTCCAGTTCGTTTTTCGTTGTATTTACCTTCCCTTCTCTTCATATTTTTCTTTTCTGCTTTCCATCATCTGTTTACCTTCTAGTTAGTGAAGTTTGTTTTTACCCTAAAATCAAGTCACATCTATGTCCAATATTCAGTTCTTTGTAAGTATATCTCCTGGATAAATCGGAGTCGGTTTTTTGGAAAGTATATTTATTCACATCACTACTCCCATGTGTTCAGTCGTTGGTTTACTTTCATACGAACTCGAGTTAGTCATGGATAAATAAGGCACATTATCCACAAATTCACATATTTTCGACCACGTTTGTTACTAAATCAAGGTAAGTTGTGATTGGATGGTTGGACTGATAGACTGGTTTCAACATGCAACTTTGCACAGATGTGCAGCAGTTCGAGTTGCCACAATTCACTTAGCACACAAAGGAAGATTAGAAAGTAAAGAAAAATGCAAAGTAGAGACAGTAAACATAGATATGAGGCAAAAAGAATAGTAATATAGAAGAACAATAGAGCTTTACTGGATATTATACATCACAAAGAGTAAATGCATCTGCACCAGCCATTGAGAACGATTTTGGGTCATATCACCAATTATCTTCAGCCTTCATTGGTTTTAACCATCCCAAGGAACCCAACCAGACTGACAGTGTACACCTCCATACGTGACTGGCTTGAACTAACTGTTGTGGGTTTCATTGACTGATGAAGCCATGTTTTCACTTGACCACTACTAGAAATTTTCCAACCTGATCAATCCTATGTTAGCTAACATTGCCAATTATCGAGGAAGGCGATGGCTAGGCATGTGTAACACATGCCCTAACCATCTCAATCGGTGTAACTTCCCAACCTTTTTGATTGATTTTCTCTCCTTAGTTAGCTCTCGACCGATGCCTAACCTCAATATTGCTCATATTATTATACCACTTCACACGGGAGATAGAACGCAGGCACCTATGATCAAAGACAGCTAGCCAGGCTTTTCATGTTCTCCACTCTGAATGGCCAGCTCTCACAGCTAGTTATAAAGAAGGACGGAACGGGCTGCTGAGCAGTACCCTTACTTGTTGGTCGATAGTCAGCCGGATATCACGTCAACACCAGAGAGAGCGTCAACTGGCACATGCGAAACGAGCCTTCTGTATCCGTGCTGATATGTCGTCAGTGATCAACCCGTTGGAGCTGATGCAATTTCCCAAATAAGTGAAGTGGTAAACGTGCTCTACCACTTCACTCCGTATTTCTAAGCTAGTAGTCGATGTAGTCTAGTCCTGTAGCATCACCTCACATTTGGCGGGAGCGTATCGCATGCCAAACAATCTAAGTCTGCAGCTCAAGGTGTTCAGAAGACTCTGCGTTTTGTCAGCTTCTTCACCTATGAGGACTATATCGTCTGCATATTCTAAGTGAGCGAGATTATACCCTGGTAACATGTCTATCCCTGAGTCGCTGAAGTCTCTTAGGGTTAATTCTATTAGTGTGTTTATGATGAAACTGAACAGAAATGGGGATAGTGGGCATCCCTGACGGATCACTAGTTGTCACCACTTCAGATGACGACTCGCCGTAAGCCTTCAGCTGGCGGCATGATTTCGAGTAGGGTGCCTTGATCAGTGGAATGTATTTTCTCGGAATTCCCCTTACAGCCAAGCATCGCCAGAGTACTTCTAGGTCGACAGAATCGAATGCCACCTTCTGGTCATGAAATATAACGATTGTCGGACGCCGGTAACTATTGCTTTGTTTCAGAATCTGTCGGAGGGTGAATATATGATCTATACACCCCCTCCTTGGTCTAAAGCCTGCCTGGTTCTCTCATGTTTGTGCCTCCCGAGCACTATTTAGTATACGCATTATTATTGAGCCTAGAACTTTGGATACTATATTAGTCAAGCCAATCCCCTTGTGATTATGACAGGAAGACTTGTCTCCTTTCTTGTATATCGGGATAATCAATGACTACACCAACCCGACGGGACTCTCTCTAATTCCCAGACGCTGCCTGGTACCTTAGTTAACGCAGACAGTAAACTGTCTCCGCCATTTTAATTACCTCTGGAGTCATTCCATCAGGTCCCGCAGCTTTGCATCGTTTCAGACTAGTGATAGCCTTGGTAATCTCAGTTAGGGACGGTGGACCTGTGTTTATATTCTAATCAGGAGGTGTTGGATATTCGGTAAGTTAAAAGCGGCTGTAGCTCAATAAACTGCCCCTCATATTCCTTTATACCATTACCCATTCTGTTTCACTCCTATATTTGTCAAACTCTATTAATTCTCTCCACTCATCTTCTTGTCTACCTCTGTGTGCTATTTGGAACGTGGCAACTCGAACTGCTGCACTTCGGTGCCAAGTTCTATGTTGAATCCAGACAGACAAAGTGTTCCTTCCAACGTTCTAGTTGTCTGTCTTACAAAGTAATTATGGTGCGATTTTTCTCA